TATGGCATTGCAAAAATATAACAAAGTAAAAGAAAAATTGTATTACATGCAAAACATTTTGCAAATGTGAAGGATTTGGTTACGCCATTTTGCAGAAACGTTTTAATCTGGGTATTTTGCCCATGCGAAAAATATCTACTCAACTCTTCGCAAATTATTTGGAGGTGATTAATAAATCATTCGGGATCATACCTGTTCAAAAATTTAATCTTCATTCAAAAGTCAGTCATTTTCTGACTTTCAGATTTTCATTCGCATTCAGTCATTTTCGTTCAAATTCATTTCACTTCACTTCTTCTGACTTGATTTCTTATTATTTCTTATCTATGAATTAAGCACAAGATAAAAAATGAAAAGAGTGAAAAATCCTTTCATTCATAGTCATTCATCTGAAATTACGGAAGCCTTCAGTCATTTTCATTAACCTGACGGAAAAATGACCTAAATTTGATTTATTTAAGTTACGAAAATCTAAAAATAATTCGATTCGACGTTGAAATGGGAAAAATATTGAGGTTTTTGCAACGAAAATCCTACGCTTTCTTCTAAATCTTTTTACAAATGGAAATTGATTATTCGTAATTTTTTATTATGATTCTTTAATTTGGAAGATTTGAACACCTTGATTGACTAGAATTAGTTAAATTTGACCATTAATTAACTCCTTTAAGATATGACAAACAAAAATGTTAGTAAATAAATACATGATTTCATGTTTCTGATAAGTTTCCGAATTTTTACTTTGGCTAAATTTTCATACTTGTGAAGTGTTTTTATCGATTAGAATTAAGTCTTAAAATGCCTTAACTTTATATATTAGCTAATACTGTAAGTAAATGCAAAAAAGTGAGGAATTATTAAGGCGCCTAAATTTAATTAAAGTCATGAAAATCTGAAAATATTTAGTTTAATTCGGTGGCGAAATGGAGAAAATATGTATTCAGGTTTGTTACGCAAATGCTAGGCTTTTTTAATTAATTTCATATTTTATAGGTTTTCATAAGTTTGCTACAAATTAACTCGTCCGTGACATTAAAAAAATGTAATTAAACAGAGAGAGTAGGGACTATTTTCTGGTAATTTTCAAAATTTCCTACACTTGTGAATAATTTTCACCAGTGTTTCTTTTTGTTCGCACAATACCATACATATTTTTATGCATGCATAAAATCATACCTGTTCAAAAAATCAGTTTTCATTCAAAGTCCCGATTTCAGACTGAAGATTTTCATTCACATTCAGTCATTTTCATTCAAATTCATTTCATTTCACTTCATCTGACTTCATTTCTTACTTCGCCCCATGTATTAAGCATAGGGTGAAAAGTGAAAAGAGTGAGAAATCCTTTCGTTCATAGTCATTCGTCAGAAATGACGGAATCTTTCAGTCATGTTCATTCAAATGACAGGAAATGAATTTTCATTCACTATCATAATCAGCCACATGAGTGAAAGTGAACAGGTATGCATAAAATGCATAAAAACGTATAAAATGCATAAAATGCCTGAACTGAAGTTCATCTAGGGAATTTCATATTTTGAATAAATTATAAATATTCATACCCTGTCAAATGAGGGCAGGATTCACTAATTCATTAAATTTCGACTTATAAGTCCACCAGGGTTTAAAAACGTTCATTCATTCTTCATAATTCAAACTGAAAAATCGTTTGACATTAAAATACTAAAAGGATAAGGAAAATACCACAAAATAACGCAACGATTTCTTAATTAATCAAATATTTAGAAAAATTGCAACATTACAATATTGTTTGTACTGGAATGATTTTGATTTTTATACACTCTAAGAAACCCGGTAACTAAGTTATTACCAGGCGGAGCATCTATGTGACTCTACCGCATGGTAATTAATTTATTATTGAGTGGTAGACATTTTGTTACCAAACCGGTAATAACCCGGGTCGCGAAATTTGAAAATATTACCAGTTGGTGACTAATTTTCTACCACCCAATAATAAATTAATTACCATGCGGTAGAGTCATATAGATATTCCGCCTGGTAATAACTTGTTACCGGGTTTCTTAGAGTGTACATTTTCCGCATTTTCATGCACTTTCCAGATTATTGGAGGGCGTTATTAAAATCATTTTTGTACACTACTTTCATGCAGGTGTTTTTTAACAGGAAAAACGCTGATTTTCAAGCATCAAGTTCTTAAATTTCTGTATTTTCCTAGAAATCCTGGAAAGAGAATTAGACACCTAAAGTTAAACTAGATTATGTAAATCTGAAAATAATCCGATTCGATGTTGAAATCGAGAAACTACATATATGTATTCAAACACAAATTGCAAACACACCTGTTCACTTTCATTCATGTGACTGATTATGATAGTGAATGAAAGTGAATTTCGTGTGATCTAAATGAGAATGAGTGAAAGATTCCGTCATTTCAGACGAATGACTGTGAATGAAAGGATTTCTCACTCATTTCATTTTTCACCCTATGCTTAATACATGGGGCGAAATAAGAAATGAAATCCGATGAAGTAAAATGAAATGAAATGAATTTGAAAGAAAATGACTGGATGTGAATGAAAATCTTCAGTCAGAAATCGGGATAACTGAACTTTGAATGAAAAACGTCCTTTTTAACAGGTATGATTGCAAAATATACGATTTCTTGTCTATTTTTTTTGCAAAATGTAATGCAAATTGCTCATTCCCGATCAACAAAAGCTATCACTTTTACGCAAAAGTCATACAGTTAAATTGCAGCAACTGATGGCCGGCAAAAATCCGTGAAAAGATACTAGATATTTAACGTAAAATAAACTGTCAATATTGCATAGAATTGACAGTCATATTCATGCAATTTAGCCTCAAGAATATTGCGTAGAAATAACCGTCAAATTAATGCAATTTAAAGCGTAGAATATTGCGCAAAAGAAACGAATAATTTGATGCAAAACTTGCAGTTAAACTCCATGCAATTACTGCAGTCAAATAACACGAATTATTAATTTTTATCAAAATCATTTATTTCATAACAAAAATTATATTGTTACATTATACAAGGGAATGCAAATGTTTTCATCTATTTTATCCGACGGGAGTAACCAACATTTCTTATCAATATCATTAATACCTATTATGGTTACGCTATTTGATAATTTGCTAACTTTAATTATTCCTAAAATTTTACTTTCACACGGACAAGTGAACAAGTTGTCCGAGTGTTTGAATTTTCTACAATTTATGTTTTTTATCTTTACTTATACTACTTATAACAACTACTTTCCCATCCTTTAATATAAAACAATGATCCTTTCCGTTCGATTTTATAATACAGTGTCTATTTAAATTCACAGGGGACTGGTACTTATGATTTTCTCTCTCAGCAGTGCGATTCACAGTTTGCTCAAAAGGTTTATAGTGAGCTCGTAGCGAGCGCTTTATTACTTGCATATTATTTTCGAAATCGAAAGCACTAAAAGAATCTAACGGGCCATGCTTTAAAGCGTCATCACTAATATGAGAGAATGCATATTATATGATAAGAACTCTTCTTCATATAAATTGGGAACATTTTTAACAAACTTCAATAAAAGCTGTCGTGCATAATCGTTCCAATTATTTGCTTGCGCCTTGGTAGTTATAAGAATCGTGACTGCTACGCAAAGATTTAAAAAATGTGTATACTTTTTCGGCGACAATAATCCTGTTAAAGCGACGGGTCCTGTATAAAGAAGAAAAGTTCTAAACTCTGTCGCTTTCCACATATCTAACTCTTTTACTGACCTCGGCTTACGACAAAATTCTTTAGGGCAACTATGCGAAAATAATACTAATTTACTTGATAAAGTTGAAATATCACGAGAAGATAATTTAAATGGCAATGGACCTTTTACCCAACTTCTTAATAGTTTTCTAACCACACCTAAGCAAATGAGGTGCATGTAGTCAGGAGGAACCGAAGAAATCACCAAAATTTTAAGCTCCGTAAACGGGGAAATGCCTACATGGTGGTGTTTATCTTTTTGAACATAAAAATCTTGATCTGTCCTAAGTGGACTATCGAATGTTCTGAAAATTACACGTCCCTTCCAGAAACCTGGATCTATACATTTCTCGCATCCATTGTATGCATTATGACTTTTACATTGCTTTAAAAAACTCCTGGCTGGCGCATCAGCTATTATTTTTGAAACCTTACAAAATATTTTCAAATTATTGTAACTAATCCCAACTCGCAAACTTTTTAACTCTGCTATCAAATCCATCAAGTATTCGTCAATACTTTCTGGTTTTGTCTTGCCATAAAATAAACCCACGACAAATACGCCGTACGTACTTTCTTCACACTTTGCTTGAATTGGCCAAAACTGGTTACTGTTACTCTTAGAAATGGGCAATCCATCAAAACTAAATATAAGGTTTAATTTAATTTCGCTACCAGAAGCAAGAATACAATTGGAATCTATTTGCCGTTTTATATTTTGAATAACATCAAAGTGTGCATATTGACCCTGACCGATAGTTTTCATAGAGTATTTAATTGAGTTTTTAAGCAATGTCCTACTATCCAATGGAAGAAATCTAAATTCTTGATAAAAGTTAAATATGCGTAGAAGATCGTTTAAAGCTACTCCCGTTATGTTATGTCGAAGCGACCAGTCCCTCAAGTCCCGTGTTAAATCTAAAATATTCCTATTATTTTCTACTACACCATTGTCACTTAGTGAATCGGAAACTAATGGCTCGTCACTATTATGGATAACATTACTGCTTCTATCATTATTGCTAATATTACTACCTGAATCGCTATCCTCAACGACAGAATCACATATATCTAAATTTACAAGATTATTACTAATAGCAGGTATGTTTTTTGCACGAGTGAGATTCTCTCTAACCCGTTTTGCAATTATTCGCCTAATGTTTCTCGGTGATTTTCCATCTCGATCCATGATTATGATGCAATTCCCGAGGGAGCGTCGTCGTTGCACCTACCTTTTGAAGAACGAAACCAATTGATTGCTGCAGTTTGAATTATATCATCGGTGGGAATACGGCCGCTGGGATTTTTGGGATCGGGAACGGACTCAACTGTAAAGACGTTTCGCACGGTTTCTGAAATTTGCAATCCAATTAAACATTAAATAGAGACCAACAATTAGAAAATTTTCTTCATTTTAGAATATTTTTTAGCACCTTTTACGACTTCCAATAGTTTTAGGTTTTTCATCGATGTCTTGTTTCCTTTACCCGTAAAATTAATTCGCCTGCCAAATTCATTCGTAAATAATTTTTTCAAGATTTTTCTAGTGCTCGCCTCGATCTGTGTCGCAGTTGAAAATGCCAAATATTCAACCTAGTATCAAATATAAGAAAAAACATTAAAGTTTAATTATGCATGTAAAATATCTCGATTAAATCGTACCAGTAATTCGCGATTTTAATCCACCTCGAGCCAAGATTCAAACTCCGCCAGTGCTACCTCGTTGTCGAGGGGTAATTTTGGAATGGCACTGAAATTGGGAGCCTTCCTACCATCCGGCCTTTGTTTCACATTAATCAGTAAAGCCTTAATGTCTTTAATGTCTTCAGCCTGCTTTTCCAACAAAGTTAGCACACTTTGCGTTGTCCCTGCAACGTGATTACAAAGCGTTAACATAATACATCAATTTTAATAAAATTATTTTGCTTGTACTAACTTGAAATCAACAGCCGTAAATCATTTAACTCCTGCGAATTTACAACAACAAAAGAGGTGTCTCCAGTTTCAACTTGATTTCCTACTTGTAGATTGCTTAGCTCTTCAGTTTCGGGAATTATTTCAGGAATGCTCAATGGTTGGTCTAAAAAGCATCACCATAATGATTAGTATAAAATATTTGTGGCAGTATTATAAGCCTACCCAGCTCCAAATTATCCAGAAGTGAGCCAGACGGAGGACTGTTTTTGTTCGCGTCGCTATCCTCCTCATCGGATGAAGACGTTACATCCCCTCGTGTGCTGCTGGGCTGAATATCGGGAATTATCTTCTTGCTCCTTAATCTGCTTTCTGGTTCTGTTTCACTTTCCAAGTTGGAAGTGTCCTCGGCTACTTGAAGTTTTTTTGTCGCAACTTCATAATCATCTAAAATAATGATATTTGTTAGTAAATGTAAAATAATTGGAATGACTTCTCATAATTTGAATTAAATAGCTATTTACCGTAATTCCCAATAATCCTGGCGTAGCTAACTCTTCCCCACTTGACATCAGGAATAGCAGTGCCCTTTTTTATCAAATTTCTAATACTTGGCCCAGAGTTTGGTGGCCAGAGACAAACTTTCTCTGCGGGGATAACCCAGTGACTTGGAACAAGCTCCACAGGCACTGAATTGTATTTATCAGGGGGGAATTCAATTATGTAATATTTTTTTGGCGACATTGAGATAACAGATAAATTAACAGGGAATTAAATTAACAGGGAATTTACGAGACTGCGAGGGTGGGAGAGAAAAGGAAATACCACGCTTCTCTTAGATTCAAACTCTCGCGCGTTGCCTGTCTCTTCGCACCCACCATTCATTGCGTATAAATTGCATGATTTTAACGCCTCATGTAATGTGGGTATTGACGAGATATTGGTGCGGTATTTTTACGCAATATCTCAGCACGTTTGGGTGCAATAATTTTTCAACCATAGGTTACAGTTTTTTAATGCAAATTTAGCGTGTCTCACGGTGCACACCAAACTTAGCACAAAATTTATGCAATAATCACGCCTTTTTTTGTTTGTTAAAAATTTTCACCATGGATTCGTTACTTTGACGCAAAAGTAATAATTTTTGTTGATCGGGTTTGTAATTTTAATTTTAGCAAAATGTTTGAAAACAAATATGGGAACATTGTAGATTTCGCCATCGAAAATGTTTATTTAATGCGTCATTTAACAAATAATGAACAAAATCCTGAAAGGGTTTTTGAGCATAAAAGCAAAAACTCTATGCAGAAAAGATGCAAAATTATTTTTTAGATAAGCAACGTATTCGGAAATTTACAGTTTTGCAAAATTCTATCAATTTTAATGCCAATTTGAAGCCACTCGAGATCTACAATGTCGCATTGCTAATTTAGAAAAACCGAAAAAAATAAATGGCGTGAGAATTAATAAGGGCAAAAATAAATAATTACATATCATAATATGGCAAATATGGTGTTTAATCAATTCCACATTTTCAAATGTAATTGTATTTATTGATAAGATATTGCAGATTTTTAATTTTAAAAATTAAATAAAAGATTGTTCAATTAATTCACTCATACCTGTTCACTTCAATTCATTTGACTGATTATGATGGAGAATGATGGTGAATGAAAATGAATATCCTGTGATTTGAATGAAAACGAGTGAAAGATTCCGTCATTTCAGATGAATGACTATGAATGAAAGATTTCTCACTAATTTCATTTTTCACCCTACGCTTGATACATGGGGTGAAGTAAGAAATGAAGTCAGATGAAGTGAAATGAAATGAGTTTGAAAGAAAACGACTGAATGGGAATGAAAATCTTCAATCAGAAATCGAGATGACTGACTTTTGAATGAAAACTAAATTTCTGAACAGGTATGAATTCACTAAATTCTTGTGCTTGTAAATTATTTTCATTAATTAGGTAGCTTCAAGCTCACAAATTTGAGAAACAAACCTGACGTAAAATTAAATTATGAAAATCTCGAAATACTTCGATTCAATGTTGAAATAAGTATGTATTAAAAGTTTGTCATGCAAATAGCATACATACTTTCTTCTCCATTTTTTACAAAATGCAACTTGGTTATTCGATATTTTTCATGGAGGATTTAACACCTCGATTGCATGATTTTCGGTTTGGTATAAGTTTTCAAAACTCTTTTACGTGACTTTGGCTAAATAAGCGTATTTTTGAATTATTTTCATGAAGTCTTAAAATGTAGTTTTGACTTGTTTTTAAGTTTTCCCCCATAAGCTCAATGTTATAACTTTTCAAAACAACATTTTTCCAAAAATTCTCGTGGGCGTAAAAAAATCGAACAGAGGTGACCAACATATCAAAATGTTCAGGATGAGTTGTGCCAACTTTATAAAAGTAAAAACACCAAGGAAAAAAATTCCTTGAGGTAGGTCACTTTTGGGGTTTGAGGTCAAAAGATCATAACCCTTGACCTGGTCATCAATGTTCAAAATTTGGAGACCTATCTCATCAAAAATGCGATTGACTATAACTGTGCACAATTTCAAATTGTTACGTCACCACTTGTTTGAGTTATCACTTGCAGGGCAGGGCAGTGTATCTATAAGATCTACAGATTTTAATTTCATCATGTCATTGCAAAAGTACTAAATGTACTTATGTATTCAATTTTACAAAGTGAAGGAAAATTTATATTACACAACACCAAATTTTTATAAATAAGTATGAAGGATTATACTTCATATTTTTAAGAAAGATTTATATGTGATTATCTGCCCTGCAAAAAATAATCAATTCTCGTTATTTCGCAAATAATTAGCCACATTTTCATACGATTCTTTAATTTAAAGGATTTAAACATCTCGATTAACAAGATTTCGTTAAATTTTATGATTAATTAACTCATTCCAGATAATATTAATAAAAAATAAGTAAATATTTTCATTTTATGATTTTAGTAATATAAATAAATACAAAAAAAATAATATGGCAGGCAGGCATGTTTTATTTGTTAAGTTTTCAAAATTTGCAGTTTGTTTGATCTTCACACCGTCTTATATCTTAAATATTGTTTTGCTATTTTACAGAACTCACGAAAAATTAAACGGCGTGAGAAGTAATCAAAACAAGAAATAAGTTATTACAAAATAGAAAAGAATTGTTTTCCATTCCATATTTTTTAATCTAACTGTATTTATAAGGTAAGCTTACGTTATAAATTTCAATTTGATCATAACATTGCACAAATGTGGAAAACGTGCATTTTGCATATGTTGCAAATTTGAAGGATTGTAAGTCATATTTTTAAGAAATATTTGTATCTCAATTTCTGCCCTGTGAAAAATAATCAATTCGCAAATAATATGAGTCACATTTTCATATGATTCTTTAATTTACAGGATTTAAACATTTTGATTAATGAGAGTTCGTTAAATTTTATAATTAATTAACTCATTCTAGATAATATTAATAAAAAATAAGTAAATATTTTCACTTTATGATTTTAGTAAGTTTTCAAAATTTGCAGTTTTATTGTACTTATAATTTTGATTTTGCGGTCTCGCTTAAAACCATGAAATCTAAAAATCGTATTGCAATTTTAGAAAACTCGTGAGAACTTAAACGGCGTAAGAATTAATCAAAACAAAACCTAAATTATTATTCCAAATCGAAAAAATTGTGTTTTCAATTCCATAATTTTAAATCTAATTGTATTTATAAGGTAAGCAGATTTACAGATTTCAAGTTTATGATGTCATTAAATTTATAAATAATTAAATTTATTATTATAAATACAATTATACATTTATATTTACATTAATTTGTACATTTATAAATAAATATAGTTACAGTACAGATTTTCTAATAGGTAAATTTTCAAAATCAGCAGATCATCGTTATACCAGAGAGTTTGATTAGATATAATTCTGTGGATATAACTTTGTGGGGTATACTTAATTATTAAAACGACTTTTATCATAATGATTGTGCTGAATCTAAAATGTTGCATTTTAATTATAGACAACTCCTGAAAATTTAAATGGCTTGAGAATTACTCAAAAAAATTTTATCAAATCAATTCCACATTTTTAAATTTAATTGCATCGATTAATTAAGATTTGCGGATTTCAATTTTATCATTTCATTGGAAAAAAATAAGGAAAAATTGTATTTTGAACGTTTTGCAAATTTGAAGAACTATTTGCAGAAACGTTTTGATTTTCATTTCTGGCCATGCGAAAAATAGTCAACTCATTTGCAACTGATATGACCCACATTTTCGTACGACTCTTTAATTTATAGGATTCAAATAAATAGGTCGATTAATTAAAATTAGTTTAATTTTATGATTAGTTAGCTCATTCGAGATCGATTTTGCTTTGGTAAGTTTTCAGAATTTGGAGTTTTGTTTTACTTACAATTTTGATTTTACAAGATTTTAACGTCTAACAATCTAAAACACCGTATAGCGATTTTTAAAATTTGTGAAAAATTAAATGGCATGAGAATTAATCAAAACAAAAATTTAATAATTATACCAATCAAATAGAAAAGATTGTGTTTAATCAATACCATATTTATAAATCTAATTTTATTGATTAGGTAAAATTGACAGATTTCAGTTCTATTATTGCACGGCAATGCAAAAATATTGCAGGAAAAATTGTAATACACATTCTACAAGCATGAAGGATTACGCCATTTTGCAGAAACGTTTTGATTGATGTGCATTTCTGCCATGCGAAAAATATATTTAATTAACTCATCTTTAAGATACCGAATATAAATAAAAAAAAGTGTATAATTTGGTTTTTGGTACATACAGTTTCAAAATTTCTTACTCTTGGCGTGAGCATTAATCAAAACCAAGAAATAAATAATTATACCAAATAGAAAAAAAAATCGGGTTTAACAAATTCCATATTTTAAAATCTAATTTTATAAATGTAAAATTGACGTTTTAATTCTATTATTGCAAAAATACGTCAAAGAAAAAATTGCATTTATTACATAAGATTTTGCAAATATGAATGATTTAATTACGTCATTCTGCAGAAACGTTTTGATGTGCATTTCTACCCATGCGAACAAAGTCAACTCTTCGCAAATTATTCGCCACTGATATGAGCCACATTAGTTCGGTTGGTCTAATGTAAATCGGCCTGTTAGCACAACAGATTTTTCAATCAAACTTGAAACTGTGTTGTGAGATCGCATCTCACACAGGCCACCTCTCTTTTTGCCAATTCTGTTTTTTTGCAAGGTGTCGCATTTTTATGGTAAATTTATGTATATTTTTTTACTCAATAGTTCCCCCAATTTTATAAAAAAAAACATTGGAAAATTTGCGCGGCTTATGTGAAGAAATTATACCGAAAGTATCTGTAATCCTATCTTTTTGCAAATTATTTTTTGCAAGTTGTTACATTTTAATGCTAAATTCGTGCATTTTTTTCACCCAATAGTTCTCCTCATTTATAAAAGTGTTTATATGGAAGTGGAGCAAATTGGCAAATTTTTGCGGTTAATTTCATCCCAACGAGAGATACATAGTGATTAACATAAATTTGAGCACATTTTGTTTTATCCACATGTTTAACTCGGATACCGTTCTAATTTTTCCAAGGAGGATCACAATTAATAAAAATCATAGGTAAATTGGCCGTTAAACAAAAATAGACAGGAAACCGTAAAATCTGCATTGAAACTACCTAAATATTTTATGCGTTTCAACACTGAATCAGATTATTTTGAGTTTTTTTAGGCTAATTGAATAAATTGCAGATTACTTGAGTCTTTTTGTTGGTCTGATTTTTTTAGCCACGTACATAACAAGGTTTTCACAACTCTATTGTATTTGCCCAAAAATTCAGAATCAATTTTTTACAAAGTGCAAAATCTGCAATTTGCAGTGCAAATTTTTGCAAATTTTTGTTAAACAATTTGCAGTGCAATTTGCAGAAACAAAAATTTACATGTACTAGTAATTCTTTAATTTGTTGGATTTACATGCATCCATTAACTAGAATTAGTTAAATTTTATAAGTACTTAATTAACTTATTCAAAATAACATAAATAAAGAAGTAAGTAAATACTTATTAATTTTTTGTTTGGCATATAGCTTTTCAAAATTCACTCGTTTATTTTACTTTCAGTAAATTTGCGAATTATTTTCATTACTTAGCATTAAGTTTTTAAATATTAAATTAAATATTTAAAATATTTGCATTTATTCGAAATTTTTCATGGAGGATTCACTTAAACATCTCGATTGCATGATTTTCTGTTTGATAAGTTTTCCAAACTCTTCCCTTTACTCGACTTTGGCTAAATTCGCGTATTTGTGAATTATTATCATCAATTAGCATTAATTAAGATCTTAAATTTTAAATCTGTAAATCTTTGCCTAACAATCAATCAAGTCATAACGTAACGAATAAACCTAACTTTAATTAATTAATTAATGTTAATTAAGATTATGAGAATCTCAAAATAATTCGATTCGAGTTGAAATACATATTCAGGTTTTTGTAATGAAAATGTCACTCAGTGGCCGCGGAAGGGCAATATCATAACCCCATTTCTAAAGTGTAATATTAATAACTAATAGGTAAACATTTACAATATGATTTTGGTAAGTTTTCAAAGTTTGCAGATTGGTTAAATTTACAATTTTGCTATTACCATCGAATTAAATGGGATCTAAAATATCGTACTTGATATTTTTATAAAGTTTTTAAAAATTAAACGGCGTGAGGATTAATCAAAACAAAATATAAATTATTACCAAATAGAAAAAATTGTGTTTGATCAATTTCATGTTTTTAAATTTAATTTTATTGCCACCTTATCAATGATAAGATAAAATTCACAGATGTAAATTCTGCGTTATATAAAAATATGACAAAGTGGAGGAAAAATTGTGTTACATACGTACAACACATTTTGCAAGTGTAAAGGATTACGTCATTTTGCAGAAACGTTTTGGTGTGCATGCATTTCTGCCCATCCATGTATGCGAAAAATAGTCAACTCTTCGCAAATTATTTGCAGGTGATATGAGCCACATTAATCCGCTTAGTCAAATGTAAATCGGCCTGTTAGCACAACAGATTTTTCAATCAAACTTGAAACTGTGTAGTGAGATCGCATCTCACACAGGCCACCTCTCTTTTTGCAAATTGTTTTTTTTTGCAACTTGTAGAATTTTTATGTTAATAAATTCGTACACGTTTTTGATTCAATAGTTCCCCTAATTTTATAAATGTATATGGACCAAATTGACAAACTTTTGCGGTTTATGTGAAAATCATAGATCAAGTTATAATGAAATTAATCTCATCTTTTTGCAAATTATTTTTTTGTAACTTGTCATGTAATGTTAAATTTGTGCAATTTTTTCGCTCAATAGTTCCCCTCATTTTATAAAAGTGTTTATATACGAGTGGAGAAAATTGACAAATTTTTGGGGTGAAATTTATCCCAACGAAATAGTAATGTACATAAATTTAAGCACGTGCGTTTTATCCACATGCTTGACACGGATGCCGTTTTAACTTTTCTTAACAGTAGTTATTATACAACAAAAGGCATAGGTGAAATGTGAACCTTCCATTGGCTAGGCAGCTGCATGTTAATTGGCCGTTATTTATTAAAATTATTAAATTTATCTGAATTTTGATAACTGATTTGTCACTAGTGAATCATTAATTATCAATATTTTTATTACTGTATCATCTAAACTCTACCAAATCAGCAGCATACATCACATACATTAAATTCTTCTTTTAAATGAGTCCTTATTTATTGAAATTGTGTATTTATCCAAATTTTGATAACTCATTTGTCCCTAATAAATCATTAATTATCAATATTTTGTTATAAAATCTCTGTCAAATGAAACCAGCAGTAATACACCAAATTAAATTATATTCGTTTAATAAATCGAAGGTATTACTATATTTATCAAAAATATATATTTATCCGAATTGTGATAACCCATTTGCAACTAATAAACCGTTAATTATCAATATTTCTATGAAAAAAATGTGTCATTTAAAAAAATCATCATAAAATTTTGAGTGATTTATTGCGCTATTTTCTCTTATGATTTTTTACGTGCGTGTGTAATCTCTGCCAAATCAGCAGCAGCACATTAAATCCTTCGATGCCATTAAGACTAATAAAATTGCTATCAAAACTACATCCGTTCGGTCGAATCGGGGTAAGTTCATCATTCATAATCCGTCCAACCCACCAATCCAGCAGCATTGTCCACAATTGGATATAATAAATATTTCAAAGTATCCATTAAGTCGGCAACCGCCGTATTAAGGAGATGATGATTATGACGAAAAAATAATGAGCAGTGGCCGCGGAAGGGTGAGGGGACAAAGGGGCAATGTCTCCACGGTTGTTATGTCCCCATTACTCCCCATCATCTGCCCATGTTATGTAAACCCCTCCCTCTATCATCCTACAATATTAATGTCCCCCCATGTCCCCACAGCTTCCTCGGCCACTGATTACTTGTACAAGGAGTATAACATACTTTTATTTATGCAGTGGCCGCGGAAGCGTGGGACAAAGGGACAATGGTCCCACGGTTGTTCGATGTCCGTATCTTCTACCCATTTTATATAAACCCATCCTTCCCCTATCCTACAATGATAGTTAATGTCCCCACATGTCCTCACCACTTCCGCGGCCACTGGTAGGAGGCAAAGAATCAATCTGCAAAAATATCTGGCCTTAATGGCCCCACAATAAAGAATAATAATAATAATTGAATGGAATAAAATATCGGGACGATCTTTCGCCCCGATTTTTCGGAGTTGATGATGAATAGGGGAAAAGTGGTGTGGTATTGTGACAAAAAACCACTTAGCACATTACAAAAGATGAAAATGGTACAATTCTGGATGGAGAAACGAATCATTACTAATATTTTTTGCCCTGATAGATTAATGACTTTATCAATCACGCCTCTTACTAAATGAGGACCTAAATAAAATTATGATGAATTAAATCCCGATAAAATATCTCGTAATTTTAGGTGATGAGATGATCTGTAGTTTTTGAATTGTCATTTTTCATACATTTTGATAAGGTTATAAAGTAAAATTAAGTTGTGTCAAATACAAAATTTTATACACAAAATGTCTCATAATTTCTGTTGGTTAGTAGTTTTTGACTTGACATTTTTCATATACTTTGATAAGGTTATGTACATATGTAGTAAAATTAAGATGTGTCAAATACAAAATTTTGTACAGAAAATATCTCAAAATTTTAGGTGATGAGATGATCTGTAGTTTTTGACTTACCATTTTTCACAAGTTTGATAAGTTGTAAAAAAAGAAGTGAATTTTAGTCAAATTAAAATATGTCCATGCAAAATTTTATACACATCCAAGTTAAATTGCAGATAAATTTTCTTCAAAAAATTTTTAATCAAAACGTGTCCTAAATGCATATGCATATTTGTCACCTTCAGCATTAAAATAAAATATCTAAAATGATTTGTTCGAATAAATGATTTCTTTAAAACTAGTCCATTTTGTTTTGAGTTTGGTGTATTACAACCTACACACTTTTTATAATGGAGCGCGTATTCTCTCATGTCAAAGCAAATTAGTCTTAATCGATTGCAAATTTGAGTATGATATTTGCGAAAGACATGACCTCCCAATGGGCACAAAGATATTTGCATTTTCCAATGAATGTATAAACTTTGTCAACTTTTGGACGCATTTTCTCCTCTTGGGATGCAAATATCTCGGCCAAACGTGCCCATTGGGAGATCGTGTCTTTCGCAAATTTTATCCTAATCAAATTTGCGATCGATTCGCACTAATTTGCTCAAAATCGAAGAGCATACGGTCGGAGACTTTCATTTTTTTAGAAAGATTTTTGACAAATGAGAAACTTAGACGCCGAAACTGCAAAAAAGACTCAACTAAAAAATATTTATTAAAAAATATCCTGATTGGTGGCTGAAGGGAAACACGTGACCAAACGTTTTCGTGGTCTCCACGTCGTGAATCCAGTCAAACAACGTGGAAAGAGAAGGAAGCCAAGTCATTCCTGGAGTGCTCGCCATTTCGCAAGCAACCACGTTTTCCAGTCTCCTCAGTTTCTTCTTAGTTTTTGCTTAAAATTTTGATTCAAAACGAAAACTTTTGATTTGTCAAAGTCCAATTTAGTTTTCTTTCAATCGGTCGATCAAATTTAGTTTATTCAATTTCATTTTTTTCAAAGAAAAGTTGCCCAAAAAAAGGTAGAAAGTTTCCTCTCTTGCTGGAAGAGATGGCCGACCGGAAAGTAGAAGTTTTTACGTCCCCACGTCCCCTGCGGGTGAAGGGTGAGGCACCCTTGAATGGGAAGGACATCTCGGTAAAAGTGAACCACTATAAGGTAAGTTGTTTTACTTAAATTCTGGTAAGTTTTTCTCCTTATCGTCTTGACCTTGAAATTTGAAGGGCAAGGCAAGACAAGGGAATACAATTTAAGGCTTGAACTGCATCGACGTTATCTTATCTTGGTCGTTCAAGGTCCCTCGGACCGATAAGTTGTTCATTTTCTCGTCAAATTTCTATCCTCTTGACCTTGAATCGACCTTATCTTATCTCCTTCCTTTCAGTGTCACTCGCACCGATAAGTTGCTCTTTTTCTAGTTAAATTTCAATTATTTTGACCATTAATTGTCCTTGTCTTTCTTTCGGACCGATAAGTTGTTCTTCTTAAATTTCTATCCTCTTGACCTTGAATCGACCTTATCTTATCTCCTTCCTGTCAATGTCACTCGGACCGATAAGTTGCTCTTTTTCTACTTAAATTTCTATTATTTTGACCTTTAATCGACCTTGTTTTTGTCTCTAATCAAGGTCAAACAGACGAACGCCTTCCCCAAGGTGATCTACCATTACGACGTGGTTATTCTAGACGTCGACGCCGCTGCTCGAAATTCTGCGGCTGCCAATGCTGGAAAAAAGAGGGTGGAGGCTCGGAAAGAGGGCGCCGGCGAAGTGGCCGAACTTCCAGCCAGGATTTTGCCCCTGATTTGGAAAGAATTCGCGAAGCAGAACAAGGCCGCGCTGAATTGGACGGTGCCCTTCGATGGGAGAAAAAATGTGTACACGGCAGGTTTGTTTAATTAAATTTGTTTATTCAAATGTGAACAGAGTTTGTTTTTTGTTTGTTAATTCGGTAGTATTCAAGTATTAACAGATCAATTCAAGTTGTCATTCAAGTGTCAGCATCGTTTGTTAATTCGGTATTCAATCAAGTATTAGCAACTAACAGAGATCAATTCACCAGTTTGTTTATTAAGTAGCTTCAGCTACTTTATGTGAAGACTTTGTCTGTCTGTCTGTCTGTCTGTCTGTCTGTCCGTCTGTCTGTCAGCAGGATATCAGGAGAACGGATCGAGATAATCGAAATCGGTTTTCGCCATCATACATAGGACTCCAGGGGGAGGATCCTATCAACTTTTGGGGGCAACCGGACCACACCCCCTTTGGCGACAGGGGGTGTGGTCGGGGCAAAATGAGATTTTTAGTGCAATTTAATCTATAGGTGAAATAGAGTAAAATTATGTGTTCCGGAGTTGTGCCACACCCCCTAGGCGCCAGGGGTGTGGTTGGGGCAAAATGAGACTTTTATAAAAAATTAATCTATAGATGAAATAGAGTGAAATTAAGTGTTCCCGAGTTGTTCCACACCCCCTCGTCGCCAGGGGGTGTGGTCGGGGCAAAATGAGATTTTTACAAAAAATTAATCTATAGGTGAAATAGAGTGAAATTAAGTGTTCCCGAGTTGTGGTGGGACCGTTTGGGGTGAAGTACGTCTGAAGCTACTTCCGTATGCGCGTTTGCGACGGTTTATTTGTTTTATTATTCGTTCAAGTGTCAACAGAGTTTGTTTTTTGTTTATCAATTTGGTATTCAAGTATTAACAGAGATCAATTCTATTTGTCATTCAAGTGTCGACGTAGTTTGTTTGTTAGTTAATTCGGTATTCAAGTAGTATTACCAATTAACAAATATCAATTCAGTTTGTTAATTTGTTTTATTCTTCATTTAAATGTCAACATAGTTTGTTCTTTTGTTTGTTTGTTTGTTAATTCGGTATTAAAGAGGCAACAGAGATAAATTAATTAATTACAAATTGGTTTACATCATGACGCAAATGGCAATAAATTATCTTTAAATGTAGGGCGGCTGGATTTTCCGAACGGGGATGCGTACTCCGTTACGATGGATATGGATGACCCGGACGACCCAGATAAGAAGAGGAGGTTCAAAGTTGAGATGAAATGTAAGCAAAGAATATTTAGTACAAATTATAAATTCATGAATTGATTATGCAAAGTTTTGTGATGTCTTGTTGCTTTGAGAAGAATTGATTATTTTTCATCAAATTTGCACTCTTTTGTACCGTTGAACAATTGATTTGTTCTTATCGTTAATTTCAAAGTGATGACATGATAACCTGGTCATTTTTTACTGTTAAAGTGTTCATCAAATTTTTGTACCAATTTGTACCTGTTTTTTATAATTTGAAACTAAACTCACACTGATTTCGACCGGCTCCATTTGTACGAAAATGTTCATCCAATGTTCATACCAATTAACCAATTTGAAGCTAATTTGACACTTATTTCTTCTTTTCTTTAATTTCCAAGTTAGGGCACGATTAGCTCAATTTTTTTCCAAAAGTTTTTGTGCCAATTTGTATCTCATTTTCAAAATTGAAACTAAACTGACACTGATTTCTGACTCCTTTTTTCCAAGCGCAGTGATGACATGACCCGCTCAATTTTTACCAAAATGTTTTTCAAATTTTGCACCAACTTGTATTTATTTATTACATTTTGAAACTAAACTTACACTAATTTCTTCTTGTCCTGAATTTCACAGTGGTCGCCCAAGTCTTGACCAGCTCGATCCTCGAGTTTCTCCGATCCGGGATGGAAAAGGGGAAGCCTGTCGAGCAGCCGCAGGACGTCATTCAAGGTTTCGACGTGGCTCTTCATCACGCCCCCGCGATGCGCTACATTTCCTGCAATCGGAGTTTTTTCAATCAATTCCCCGAAAATCGAACTTCTTTGGATTTGATGCTCGAACTACTGCACGGGCATTATCAATCCCTCTGTCTGGGGGAGGGGAATAACGTCACGCTCAATATTGATTGTAAGATTTAGCTAATTAACTAATTATTTAAGGGATCGGATTATTTGCATAAATTTCTAGACTTGGGGAAAATAGAGTATTTTTAGCTAAATTCTTCTCAGGATTTTGATTTCCGGGTCTCGAACACCCTCAAAAAGACGAAAATTTACGTGGAGAAGGCAAAAGTCATATAATAAAAATATGCGTTTTTTTAAGAAATTTAATTTTTATCGCTGTCAAAATATATTGTTCTCGCGATAAAAAAATGAAGTATTTTGACACCGATAAAAAGTCAATTTCTCCAGAAAACGTGTATTTTTGTATGACTTTTGCCTTCTACACGTAAATTTTCGTCTTTTTGAGGGTGCTCCAGCCCTAGAAATTCAAACCCTGGGAAGAACGGGGTTCAAAATTCTGGATTATTTTCACCAAGTAAAATTCCTGTTTTCCTTTCTAATGTTTTTAGTGGCCACGAAGGCCTTCTACAAGCAAACGCCGCTGCACGTTTTTATCCGTAGTGCCTGCAACTTGGACGCCAAGGATTTGTTGGACAGCAACTTGTGGAAAGAGCAGGACATCCGCATGGCTTCCGAGGCATTGAAAGGTAATGATTTTATTTGTACAAGATTTATTTTATTTGCGGTGGGCCGACGGACGAACATAATCTTCAAGAAGCGTGTCCAAAATACAGTATTTTGAGCTGTTTCTTCCCAGGGTTTGGATTTCCAGGGCTGTTACACCCACAAAAAGACGAAAATCCACGTGGAGAAGGCAATAGTCGGACACAAATACTGGCTTTGTAAAGGAATTAAGTTTTTATCCCTGTCAAAACACGATTTTTAAGTGTTTTGCCAGCGATCAAAAGTTAATTTCCTCAAAATGCATCATTGTTTTCACGATTTCTTCAAAATAAAGTAGTTTGACCGGGATGGAAAGTTAATTTCTTTACAAAACCTGCATTTTAATGGTACTATTGCCTTCTCCACGCAGATTTTCGTCTTTTTGTGGGTGTTCCAGCCCTGGAAATCTAAACCCTGCGAGGAACCCAACTCAAAATTCTGTATTTTGACCACACTTGATAATCTTCTCATTTTTTTTGCTTTGTACCAACCAGGAAAATTGATCAAGTATGGAACTGGACCATGCGACGCGAGAGGTGTGTACGAGAAGTATCACCAATTTACCGCGAATGCCTTGATCAACCAGTCCGCTGAGGAGTACACCTTCGACATCACGAACGAAAAGGGGGCGAAAAGGACGATCAACATTGTCCAGTACATGCAAGAATTTAAGAATACCAAGATTCGAAACCCACAATGGCCCGTGGTTCACATTGGGAACCGAAATATGACCAATTTTGTCCCTCTCGAGTTGTGCACCATTATTACGCAACCCTACAGGGGGAAAATGGAACCAGTACTGACGAGCAAAATGATCAAGGGGGCAGCAATGGGGCCGGAGGAACGATTCAAAAAGATTGAAGAATCGGTAAGAATTTCGTAATTGGAAGAAGGCGGATGTCTATTTATTTTCAAGTTTTTTTTTAAATTGATGAGGCCCAACGGTGAAACTTTGTGGAACTTGCAGAGATTACGAAAATTTCGAAATATTTATTACATATTGGCAATTTTTTTGGGGATATATAAGAACTTCCGCTATTGTTTCAAAAATGCGTACATCTTTTACATATTTTTTTTCAAAAATATGTATATTTTTACGATTTTTTGAGGCAATTTTTTCTGTTCATAAAAAAGTTGACGTGAAAAGAACTTCAGCGTAGTAATTTCAAAAATACTGTGGAAATTTTAATTTTGATGTTTGTTTTTCGTATATATTTCGGAAATATTATTGTTTGGGATTTTTTCGTAAATATTTAATTAGAGTTTCGTAAATACATATTTACCTCTCTGGTAATTTAGCTTGATGTAAATTTGATATTTAATTTAGAAATTTTGGTATATTTCAGAGAAAGGGAAGCAAATTTGGAGAGTGTGAAGTCCTAAATGAATTTGGAATTCATATCTTAGAGAATCCCATCGTGATCGAGAAAGCTTCCGTCATCGCCCCACCCGTCGTGAAAACCTTGGACTCCAGAGGGGCTGTATGGACCGACTTTTAACGCATTTTCCAATTAAATTTGAACCCAAGGACTAATAATCAGAACGCGCTTTTAATCATTACTCGGCTCTAGGAATTTATTTTAAAATTCTGGACGACGAATTTGTGGAGCAGGTTGTTCCCAATTTAAAAAATGTACACACTCTAGATTTTGACACTTTTTAAAGGAGGAGATCTCAAGTTTAGGAAGCCTTCAGAAAAATTGAAACTCGTCGAAACTGGTTAAAAAAACTCAGCATCATTCCATTAATCAATTCACCGACTACAAATTTGTCGTCCCGAATTTTAAAATAAATTCCCAGTCCCGAGAAATGATTACAAAATGTGCTGATTTTGACAATTTTTGTGACGTTAAACCAACCCCTAATTATTATTTTGTGCAGAAAACAATTGCCAAAGTCGACGATAAAGAGGGTAAATGGAACTTCAAGGATAAAAATAGCAGGGAAGCGTCCAAGAGATTCAGCGACGGTGCCACCCTCCCAAAGTGGATGATTTTTGATTGTGATGGAATTACGAAGAGGCAGGCAGGAGTTGCTGAGTAAGTTTTGGTCACAAATTTTTGTACCTCTGATTTAGCGTCCGTAAAGACGATAACTTTTGACAGAATAAAGCTTTTAGTTCTGCTTTTGGATATCGGCATCTAATTTTAAATGTAAAGGGAGAGTTCGTTAAATGACCTGGCAGGGTAAAAGGTCAAAGGCCAAAAATATTTTGTTTTGACAGTTTTAGATCTAGTTTGAAGTGGCGATTTCAAAAACCATCATAATTTCGAGGTATAATAACTCCTTGGCCGTGTAAATGAGGTCAAGGGTAGTAAATTTTCGTAGGAAATGCAACCTCGTAACGTATAAATTAAGTCAAATGCCAAATTTGTCTTAGGAGATGATGTATTCCGTTCTTTATTTCCATACTTTTCAGCAATTTTATCGCGAAACTGACCGAAGTCGGGGAGAGCCTTGGGATGAGAGGGTTCCGTGTACCAAAGACGTTTGTAAAATGTTACTCAGACGCCAGCGTAAGAAAACAAAAGATGTTTATTATCAATAATTTATACGGATTATCATTGATTGACTTATATTTTCCTGGATAGTTCCACCCCGAAAAGAAGGAAGGATGGGACAACAAATTGAAACGGATCAGTGCTGCCTTCCAGCAAATGAAGGCTAAACACTTCGATTTGATTATTGTTATCTTGTCGACAGATGGGAAAGACTATGCCCACATCAAGTCTGAAGCGGAAGTTGTGGTGAGTACAGTTTTTGCTGTGTTTCTTTCGGGTGGTTTGCTACATTTCTTAAGTGAGAAAGGCAAGAAGGTGCAAGAAATAAGCGTGATCTAGCCACGTGCAGTATGAAATATAGCGGCGGGGCATAGTTTCTTGCCTTGCATTTTTTGCAGGTTAAATTATTTAGCTGTAAGAAACCACTTTCTCCCAGTCATTTCTTGCAAGTGGTTTCTTGTCAGAGTTTCTTTTTTTGCTGTTTATTTTCTACATTTCTTGCACTGCAAAGCAAGAAATGCGAGGTGTCAGAAACTGAGGAAAAGTGTAAGAAACGTGTGCCACGTGCCTCGTGAAATATAGCGGCGGGAAGTAGTTTCTTGCGCCTTGCTTTTCTTGTAGGGCATAATAAATAGCTGGAATGAACCCCTTTCATCCTGTAATTTCTGATTACTTGCACCGGAATCACTGATGCCAAGCAAAAATGTAGTTATTGTTTGTCTAAATTTATATCTTGTTTTTGTACAGTACGGAATTTTGACGGCTTGCATCAAGCAACACAACGTGGCGAAATTGGATAATCAGAAAATTGGAAATTTCCTCCTCAAGTTGAACGCCAAGCTTCGCGGGACGAATTTTTCCATCCAGGAATTGTCCGACCTGTACTTGAAGGAAAGGACGATGATCCTCGGAGCGGATGTGACGCATCCCAGCCCAAATTCTGTGGTAAGATGAGATTTGAAATTAACAGAGGGTGGATATTTATGTATTTATTTTCAACTTTTTGGACAGTCAAACTTTGGTGGGTGTGTTGCCAAACTCGCGTAGAGCACAAAAATTTCAAAATATTTTACATACTGAATATTTCTAGGTTTTCAAAAATGTAAATATTTCCGGTATTGATTATTTTACAAACTACGTAAATCTTTTACATATTTAAAATACATGCATTTTGTAAATATTCTAATGATGTGAGACGGAATATTTGTTCTCAAAGAAATTGGATCACAAACAATGTACATACTAAAGGTGATTTACGTTAAATGGGGCGACTTTGAAGTTCAACAACTCCGAAACTGGTTAGACTTTTGACCCCAAATTTTGAGCATAATAACATGTGACCCAAGGCTATGTGTCTGTACCAAAAATTAACTCCCAAGACAGGAATGACCCCCCCAAAAAACCCCAGAGCAAGAGGGTGTGGAGAACACTTTTTCCAACTCCCAATTGCTGCCTACAAAAGTTCTTGGCGAAGTAAAAAAAACTAAAATGTGGCATATATTATGCCCCAGTGTGCAGGGAACTCAAAACAATTAATTTTTTCCCCCAAATACAACTGGCTGTATTTTTGGAGAAAACCTAAAAATAGCCCCCACGCGATTTAAGCGTCATCGGTCTACTTCAAATCCATACCAAACATCGAATTTAAAACTTAGAAAACCAACCAGGTGCCATTATATTAAGAAAGGCCTCCTCTAACTGACAAAATAATAATCATAAAAAAATTTCAAATATGGTGATTTATATAGTTCCATTTTATCAAAAAGAAAAGTTTCTGAGTTGTTTTGGTCCTGGTATTCAAAGAGGTGAAACTTTTTTTACCCGATTTGAAGTTATTTATGAAAGCTAGATAAATGCCAAAAATTTTGATACCATCGACATCAAATTCTATGAACAATTAACAATTTTAGAGAATTTTAAAATATTCTAAACCTCAAAATTTTGGGTGTTTTGAAAAACATTTTTTCGTGACTTTTTTTTCGGATGTTTGTATCTCAGGCCCTTTTTACACTAGCGACTTGAAATTTTAAACCAACAATGATGAGAATAGGATCTACAAAGGCCTAAAATTTCAAAGCGATATTACATATAGTGCCTAAGTTATTAAGCTTCAAAATCGTCCCATTTAACGTAAATCACCTTTGGTATATCATTATATTCAAAAATACAATAGGTTTTGCGCAAATTCTAATTATTAGTGGTTTTATTTCGTAAATATTTTGACATTTTTATATATATGTGGAAATATGTGGAAATATATATAATGTATATATTTTAAATATATGTGGAAATTATGGCTGCATTTTTTGGTACTAATTTTATACGCAGGCCCCGAGCATTGCTGCCGTCACTGCGTCTTTCAACATGTCTTGCATGGGATATTCGATGCACATTCAGCCCCAAAGGAGTCGCCAAGAACTCATCGAGAACATGGGCGAAATTGTGAGCGGACAGTTAGCCAAGTTTTTCGAAACCAACAAGGCGTACCCGAAAAGGATCTTGATGTTTCGTGACGGCGTGTCAGAAGGATACTTTACCAAGGTGAGAAATTTTGGATAATTTGAATCTCAAATATGTAAATTGACCTTGATGATTGATGACTCGGCATCAAAATCAACATGTTTTTAATCATTTCTCTGCTCTGGGAATTTATTTTAAAATTCTAGACGACAAATTTGTAGTCAGTGAGTTAATTGATGGAATGGCGATGAGGTTTCTGAGCCAGTTTCGATAAGTTCCAATTTTTCTGAAGGTTTCTTAAACTTGAGATCTCCTCCTTCAAAAAGTGTCAAAATCTGGAGTGTATATTTAAAAAAAATTGGGAACGGCCTTCTCTATAAATTTGCTGTTTGGAATTTTAAAATAAATTCCCGGAGGAGAGAAATGTACTGATTTTGACGATATATGATCGAGTCCTACGTTGATCTAAATATTATTATTAATTTTGTTGGACAGGTCAAAGAAGTGGAATACGAGCAAATGAAGGATATCTGTGAATCGATTACGGATAGCTTGGGAATCCCAAAGATCAAAATTACCTTCGTGATTGTAAGTTAATTAGTGTTTAATTGGTACTAAATAATTCTTGCATTTTATGCTTATCAGGTCAAGAAGCGTCATCACACCCGTTTTCAACCTATGGGTGCAAAAGACGGAGTCGGGAAAGTGAGGAATTTTGAGCTAATATGACACCAGATTTGTTACTTATTTATTTAATGATGATGATTTTGTATGTCCCAGTTCCAGAACATTCCGCCCGGGACGGTCGTCGATACCAAGATTGTGCACCCGTCCGAGAGAGAATTTTTTTTGAATAGTCACGTCGGCATTCAGGTGAGTGTCATTTTGTAATAATTTGAACAATCAGGGTTTCGTTGTAATTTTGATAAACTGTTAAAAAAACGTCCAAAATTCGGGTATGACACTGAATTTGGACGTCCGAAGAAATGTTCAAAAGAGGAAATATTGCAAGTTCTTCATTATTGAATGTTTTGATAATACGTTAATGTGCAAAATATGTAAACTCCCATTAATTTTGATATGTATGTAATACGGCATTTTTCGGAAATTTTTTAATTTCTCGTAAGATAACTTGAAAACGAGTTTTTTGTATAATTTAGTAGTATTACGCACACCAAAATGCTCAAACTTAATTGGTGATTATATTAATTACATTAACTATGCATTAATTTGAATATACAAAGTTTTCTCCCTTTTTCTAATGCTTTTGGTCATTTGAGACGTCCACAATTATTTTGGGCAACCAGTCCAAAAGTAGTTTTGAACGTCCAAAACTATACCCTGGACATAATTGATCTGATTGATTGGTAAATATTTATTTTTGATTTGCAGGGGACCTCGAAGCCCACTCGGTATCATGTCATTCATGACGACACGAACTTTACGATGGGCGATTTGCAGAAGATTACGTACTATCTGTGCTACGGATTCGTTCGATGCACCCAGCCCGTCTCATATCCAGCGGTGGGATTTTAATTTAATTTAATTATCTGTAGTTTTATAATTGCTCAGTTATATTTATATGTATTCTAATTATTTGTAGGCCACGTACTACGCTCATCTGGCTGCTTATCGGGCCCGTCATCTCATCGAGAAGGAAGGGTGAGTGAGCAATTTAAATACTTAATAAATCCAGTCACGTCAAGCTTTGTAACATTTAAAATTTTAAGAACTTTACAAAAACTGCAGCAATTTTATTGGCACAAAGTTTACAAAGTTGACATATATGCAAATTTCTGATTTTGCTGAATTCTAATGTTGGATTTTGTTCGTTTTTTAGGGAAAATGCGGACTTGAAAGACCTCGAGAGGAAGCTGACCATCCATCCCGACTTGGCCAAGCGATATCCTATGTTCTTCGTTTAAATCAATCTCCTCAATCAATTTCATGCTCATAATATGATTACATCATATTCAAATCTTTATTTATTTAGACAACTCTTATTTGTTACAGACTTGTTAAGTTTGATTGATTAATAAAATATTTGGGATTGATTTTCTAATCTAGTTTGCCTTATTGTTCTAAATATAAATGTAAAATTAGAGATAAATTATCCATTTAAAAACTGCACCATGTTTTGGCACAATTATTTCATAAAATTACGAGATTAATTTGCTAGTTTTCAATTCGACAATGAAACGAATTAGTAAACATTCTTTGGTGCGATGGATAAATGAATTATTCGAGGTAGGTGCTGGCGGAAGCTGGAGGACATTGCCCCCCCCCAGAAATTTATAAACTATGAATTTAATAAACCCCCCTCCTCTTCCTATCTCACAATGCTAATGACCCCCCACTTTCGCCGCCGTTGTTCGACGTAAGATTATTTTTTAGATTGAATCCCGACTCATAATTTCAATTGATGACATATTTCGTACTTCTTGGCTTATCATTTTTCACACTTTGATAAGGTCATAGTTATAAAATACAATAAAATAAAAGTAAAATGTGTCTCAAAAAATGTGCAAAATTTTATGATCTCAAAATGTCCAAGGTTTGCAGACGAAGTCAACATTCCCCAAAATCGAGACACGGCACCACGAAGCCAAATCAAGCTAGCTCTCCAACTCTTTATTTTTCAAGTCTCGTCAGTTTCTCTTCAAATTTGGAAGCCTAGTTAAGCCAACGTAAAATTTCAATTTAATAAAAAATTTTCCAAAGTCGAGTAGAATTTTCAGTCTGTCCAAAAAACTTGAGTCGGTCGGTCGATTATTTCACTCTGTCCAGAAAGTCAGTTTCAATTTTTCAAAAAAAGAAGTTGCACGAAAAAACTACAAAGTTTCCTCCATTGAAGAAATGGCCGCCAGTAAAGAAGTCGTCGTCGTCACGTCCCCACGTCCCCTGCGGGTCAAGGGGGAGGCGCCATTACACACCAAAAAGAAAATTTCTCTCATCGCGAATCATTACCCGGTAAGAAGTTTATTTTTTCCCTTGAATTTTTAGAAAAAAAGTAAAGGTCAAAGGTCAAAATAAAGTATTTTGAGCTCCGTTCTTGGCCAGGTTTGGATTTCCGGGGGTGGAACACCCACAAAAAGATTAAAATCTACGTGGAGAAGGCAACAGTCGTACGAAAATACAAGTTTTGTGAGGAAATTAACTTTTGATCGGTGTCAAACAAAACACTTAAAAAATCGTGTAAAAAACGTATTTTGACAGCGATAAAACGTTAATTTCTTCACAAAACCTGTATTTTCGTACGACTGTTGCCCTCTCCATGTTGATTTTCGTCTTTTTGTGGGTGTTCCACCCCCGGAAATCCAAATCCTGGGAAAAACGAAGCTCAAAATACTGTATATTTTTATAAAGTATTTTGGTTATCCTTGCTTATCTATCTTATTCCTTGAAGGTCACCCTCCAGGAAAACTTCCCCGAGGAGATATACCAATACGACGTGGTCATCGCCAACGTCGACATCAACGGAAACCCTGGGGGTGGTGGGGATGCTGCAAAAAAGACCGAAATTCCAGCACGGGTCGTGTCCGAAATCTGGAAGGAGTTTGAGAAGCAGAACCAGGCCGTGTTGACCTGGAAGGTCCCCTTCGACGGGAGGAAGATCGTGTTCACGGCGGGGAAGCTGGACTTTCCGAACGGAGATGCGTACTCTGTCACGCTCGAGATGGCCGATCCAGACGACCCGGATAAGCGGCGGAGGTTCAAAGTGGCGATGAAATTGAAATGTAAGCACAAATTAAAAATTCCTTCAAACGGTTAGGTTGTTGTGGCTTGTTTTTGCCAGAAGTGTTTATTTTTTAGTCAAATTTGCAATCTCTTTCGTACCATTGAACAATTGATTTGTTCTTTTCGTTAATTTCCAACGGATGAGTAGTCAATTTTTGCCAAAATGTTCAAACTTTTGTACCAATTTAACCTCTTTTTTACAACTTGAAACTAAACTGACATTGTCGGTCTCCCAACGTGTGTTCGTTCACAGATTTTGAGCAAATTAGTATCAAAATTTGATTAGTATGAAATTTGCAAAAGACACGATCTCCCAATTGGCACGTTTGGCCGAGATATTTGCATCCAAAGAGGGGAAAACGTGCAATAAAATTGTTCACTTTCCAAGTTTACTATGCGTTTTCTCCTCTTTGGATGCAAACATCACTGTCAAACGTGCCCATTGGGAGGCGAGATCGTGTCTTGCAAATTTCATCCTAATTAAATTTGTTCTAGATTGACACTAGTTTTCCAAAATCAGATCGCATACCCGGCAGACCTCCATTGTTAAACTGATTTCTTCTTGTCCTATAAATTTCACAGCGACCGACGGAGGCAAAATCTGGACGAGTTCGATTATTGATTTTCTCCAATCGTCGAGGGACGGTGGGAGGCCTGTCACAAACGGCAGTTCAAGGACTCGACGTGGCCCTGCGTCACGCCCCCTCGTTCAACTACATTTCCTGTAATCATAGTTTCTTCAATGAGTCTCCTAAGAAGCGAATCCCTTTGATCGGCGAGGACGGGAAGGATTGGATGCTAGAATTGCTGCAAGGGCATTATCAGTCCCTTTGTCTGGGGTCGGAGGAAAGGGCGACGCTTAATATCGACCGTAAGATTTAATTAATTAAATATGATGACTCTTCGGCGGAATAAGTACACATTTTTAATCATTTCTCCTCCCCTCTGGGAATTTATTTTAAAATTCTGGACGACAAATTTGGCGACGGTGAGTTGATTAATGGAATGGCAGTGAGTCTTTTGAAGCCAGTTTCAACGAGTTCCAATCATATATACCTGTTCAAAAATTTAGTATTCATTCAAAAGTCAGTCATCCCGATTTCTGAGTGAAGATTTTCTTCCATTCACATTCTGTCATTTTCTTCCAAACTCATTTCATTTCACTTCATCGGACTTCATTTCTTACTTGTAAGCATGGGATCAAAAATGAAATGAGTGAAAAATCTTTCATTCATAATCATTCATCTGAAATCTTTCAGTCATTTCTTTCAAATCTTTCACATTCAAATGATAGGAAATTCATTTTCATTCATTGTCATTCACTATCGTAATCAGTAAAATGAATGAAAGGGAACAGGTATGGCTCCAACTTTTCTGAAGGCTCATTAAACTTGAGATTTTCTCCGTTAAAATGTGTCAAAATCTGGAATGTGTGCATATTTCTAAAAAAAATTCGCAACAAGATGCTCGAGCATCTTGTTGCGAATTTTTTTTGGACGACGAATGGACGACGAATTTGTGGATCCACAAATTCGTCGTCCAGAGTTTTTAAATAAATTCTAGAGCTGAGAAATGATTAAAAATATGCTGATTTTAACGATTACTCATCCAATTCTGTATTAAATTGCGTTTCTTATTTTTTAGTGGCGTCGAAAGCATTCTACAAGAAAATGTCACTCGCTGAATATGTCGGCAAAGCATGCAACTTGGCAGAGAATGATTCTTTTGACCTCGATGCTTGGGATGAATGGTACATCGAGGTTGCTACCGAGGCATTAAAAGGTATTAATTAATAATTAATAAATAATGGTTTTATTTATACAAAGTTGAGAAAATGTACAGTGTCGGACAGATGTCTACGTCCACATAGTCGCGTCAATTTCATTTTCAAATTGTCACTGAACTACTGAACCAATTTTCATCATTGATATATCAAATTCTCACAAATTTAACGTAATTTCATAGCACATTATTAGTTTTCCGCTAAAAAATTTATTTTAGGCCAGAGATGTATTTTAATTCAAAATGAAAACAATTGGATGGACAAAAGTCAACGTCCAGTCAGAGAAAACATACAAAAAAACTGTAATTTATAAGGAATGTTATAACAATTAATTTTTAATATTTGGTTGGGCCTCCGTTCGCTTTAAGGACGGATTCAAGGCGTCGAGTCATAGAGTTTACCAAATTCTTGGTCACATCTTCAGAAATGGTTTCCCAAACTTCAAGAATTCTGGATTTTAGGCCCGGAATTCCTGAAAAAGATTGTTTTCTTATTTCTCTTTCAATGTGGTCCCACAGATGCTCAATGGGATTCAAGTCTGGAGATTGGGGAGGCCATTCTAGCTTCGAAATTTTTTTTCTTGAAGTATTCCATGGTGGACTTGGCAGAGTGTTTCGGATCGTTGTCTTGTTGGAAGACAAATCGTCGTCCAAGTCCAAGTTTTCGAACAGATTCCTGGATATTACGGTCAAGTATTCCCTGGTACTTGTATTGGTCCATAATTCCGTCAACAAATTCCATTTTTCCTGCCCCACTTGAAGCCATGCATCCCCACACCATTACCGACCCGCCGCCGTGCTTAACTGTGGGGTTGAGATTTTTTGGATTCAATGCTTCTTTTGGATATCTCCACACTCTACGACGCCCATCTGACCCAAAGACATTGAACTTTGACTCGTCAGTCCATAAAATATGTCCCAGAATGTTTGTGGCTTGGAAATGTGGTCTCTGGCAAACTTCACTCGTTTGGTTGCATTCCTCGGTACAATAAGAGGCTTCCGGACTGCTCTGTGGGATTTCAAATTTCCCTTGTTCAGTGTTCTTTGGATGGTCCTAGGACTAACTTGTTTGTCGAACATCTCCTTGATCTCGGTAGATAGCTTTGGAGCACTAAGTGAGGGTGTAACGTTGACTTTGTTGAGCACGTGGCGTACTTCTCGGTGAGCCAAAATCGGTTTTCGACCACTTCTGACCTTGTTTTGGACTGAACCATTAGCTCTAAAGTTCTTAATGATTGTCTGGATGGTTGTCCTTGCTAATTTATACTTGGTCCCTATTTGTCTCTGCGACAGCCCCCCTTTTTGTCCACCCTTCCAGTCCTGAATGACAAGATCTCGAATAGCGATAGGAATTTCCTTGCGTGTCGACGCCATCATATTTTTCTGGAAGAAAATTATTTAAAAATTAATGCGGCATATGTTATTGATAGATTTATTAAGTTACCTGATTTTATAAATTGGAGAGATTTTTGTTGTTGACAATTAAAGTGAAGTGGACGTAGACTTTTGTCCGCTCAAATTTCATCCTCTCTCGCTCTGCACTATGATTCTCAGTTTTCCCAGAATTTTCAGAAATAACTCATATGTTTTATGAAATTACGTTAAATTTGTGAGAATTAGATATATCAATGATGAAAATTGGTTCAGTAGTTCAGTGACAATTTGAAAATGAAATTGACGCGACTATGTGGACGTAGACATCTGTCCGACACTGTATGTACATATCTTCAAGGATGGCCAAAATAGAGTATTTTGAGTTCTGTTCTGGCCTTCCCAGGGTTTAGATTTCCATTGCTGTCACACCCATAAAAAGACGAAAATCTACGTGAATAAGGCAGCAGTACATGAAAATTAGGAATTTCTGATGAAATCAACTTTTTATCGCTGTCAAAATGCATAGTTTTCACAATTTAAAAAATACAGTATTTTGGCAGCTATGAAATCTTTCTTTCTGCAGAAAACCTGTTCTTTTCTTCAACAACGGTTGCCGTCTCCAAGTAGATTTTCGTCTTTTTGTGGGTATTCCAGCCTTGGAAATCCAAACGCTGGGAAAAGCGGGGCTCAAAATACTGTATTTTGACCATCCTTGGTAATTTTACCATTTTTTTCTGTCTGCCAGGAAAGCTTATCAAGTACGGGACTGGACCACGTGACGCGAGAGGCGTGTACCAGAAATATCACACCTACACCGCGAACGCGTTGATATTCCAGTCCGCTGAGGGCTACACCTTCGACATCACGGACGAAAATGGGGCGAAAAGGTCGATTAACATCGTCGAATACATGAGGAAGTTTAAGAACACCGTGATTCGACACCCAAAATGGCCCGTGGTTCACGTGGGGAACAGAAACATGACGAATTACGTCCCCCTCGAGTTATGCACCATCGTTACCCAGCCGTACAAAGGGAAAATGGAAGCCAACCTGACCAGTAAAATGATCAAGGGGGCAGCAGTGGGGCCGAAAGAACGATTCAAGAAGATTGAAGAATCCGTAAGAATTTCGTATTTGACAGAGGACCAATTTATAAATTTGTTATTTAATACTTTGAAAATTTTGATATTTTGCAGAGAAAGGGAAGCGAATTTGGGACGTGCGAAGTGCTGAAGGAATTTGGAATAGCTATCGAAGAGAACCCCATCGTTATAGAGAACGCTTCCGTCATCCCGCCACCCGTCGTGAGGACCTTGGACTCGAGGGGCGCTGTAAGGAAGAACTTGTTTTTAACTGTTTTTAAAAATAAGGCTGACTCATAATTGTTAAAATTAACACATTTCTACTTAATAATTTCTCGGCTCAGGGAATTTACTTAAAGATTCTGGAAGACAAATTTGTCGTCAGTGAGTTGATTGATGGAATGGCGTTGAGTTTTTTGGGCCAGTTTTGACGAGTTTCAATTTTTCTAAAGGCTTCGTAAACTTGAGATCTCCTCCTTGAAAAAGTTTTTCAAATAAAGAAGGACCCGACTAGTCCGAATCAGCATAGGAATTTATTTTAAATTCTGGACGACGAATTTGTAGAGCAGGGATAGTTGCCAATTTTCTAAAAATACACACTCCAGATTTTGAACGAGGAGATCTCAAACTTACTCAAAGAACTTAGCCCTGTTCCATCAATCAACTCACTGAATGCAAATTTGTCATTCAGAATTTTAAAATAAATTCCCAGTGCGGAGAAATATTATGATTTTAACGATTTTTGTGAGAAGACAAGACCTTAACCGCGTTAACCAACGAGATAAAAAGGGTTCATTATTTCATGCAGAAAGTAGATGCCAACGTCAACCAGAAAGAGGGAAAATGGAGCTTCACCAATGGACCGTCCAGGAAATTCCTGCAAGCTGCCACCCTCCCAAAGTGGGCGATCTTAGATTGCGACGGAGTTTTGAAGAAGGAAGGAGTTTCAGGGTAAGTTTTGATCACAAATTTGTATCTGATTTATTAACGAAGTACTTAAATCACAGTTCTTGCGAGCGATTTGTCCATCTGCACGATAAGTTTGAAACGAATCAGATTTTTTCTTAGTTCTACTTTCGAATATCGACGTGTAATTTTAAAAGTATAAGGAAGGAGTTCGTTAGCTGACCTTGAGGGTCAGAAGGTCACGGCGCCACGGTCGCCACTAGGTTGTAATAATTTGTTTTAGATAGTGTTTAAGGCGGGATTTAAAAATTCACCATGATTTCGAAGGTATAATGACCCTGTGATTGTGATTTAAACATACCTGTTCAAAAAATTTTTTTCATTCGAAGTTCAGTCATCCCGATTTCTGACCGAAGAGTTTCATTCACATTCACTCATTTTCTTTCAAATTACTGGAATTTTATTTTCGTTCACAACATTCACTATCATAATCAGTCTCATGTGACTGATTATGACTCATTCATGGATGAATGAAAGTGAACAGGTATGTGTGTTAACGAGGGCAAAGAAAGGTCATAAAATGTCAGATTTTGGTGGCAAATACTACCAGGAGTAGAGTACGTACTCTGTTTCTGAGAGTTTATTGTCTCCGTTGTTGCCAGTGGCCGTGGGGACATCTGGGGACATTGCTATTGTAGGATGGGGGAAGGGAGAGGTTTATTTAACATGGACAGATGATGCAGACATCAAATAACCGTGGGGAAATTGTCCCTCTGTCCCCGCGGCCACTGTTTGTTGACGCAGTTTTTTTACTTTTCAGGTATTTTATCTCGAAACTGACTGAATTGGGGGAGAACCTTGGCATGAAAGGGTTCCGAATCACGCCCGAAGTAAAATGTGTTACAAATGGAAACGTAAGAAAAAAATAGAAAAATTGTAAATAATTTAAGGCACTCGAGGTGGATAATTGGCTTATCTTTTGCTCCATAGCTTCGCCTTCGCCATGGAGAAAAACTAAGCAAAGTAGAACAGGAGCGGAAGTTGGAACGAATCCGTGTCGCCTTCAAAGAACTGAAGAAGCAAGAAGCAGAACGTCGGTCTGGTTATCGTGGTCTTACCGACCGATGGGAGCGACTATGCCTTCGTCAAAGCGGAAGCGGAACTTGCGATAAGCAAGGTAAGACAAAAATATGCGCCATCTAGCATTCCAGCAGCGGGAAGTGGTTCGTTGCGGGTCAAAATTTTTGCAAAAACTACTTTCTTGCCGTTATTTCTTGCACCAGAAACACTAATTTCAAGCAAAAATTCAGTTCAAAATTTCTTGTTTTTGTACAGGTCGGAATTTTGACGGCTTGTATCAAGTCGAAAAACGTGAAAAAGCCGGAGCTGAATAAGCAATCGCAGTTCATCCAAAAAATTGGAAATTTTTTACTTAAATTGAATTCCAAGTTGTCAGGAACGAATTTTTCAATAAAGGAATTGACTGAGAAGTATTTTGAAGAGAAAACCATGATCCTGGGGGCCGACGTGACGCATCCAAGTCCAAATGCTGGGGTGAGATTTGTGCATTATTTTCATACTAATTTTCAGGGGTGGGTACGTAAAATACTTTGTGAAAATACAGTATTTTGAGCTCGGTTGTTCCCAAGGTTTGGATTTCCAGGGCTGGAACACCCAAAAAAAAACGAAAATCTACGCATACATGTTCACATTCATTCATTTAATGATGAATGAATAAATTATTCATTCAATATTCAAAATTTTGAATGAATATTGAATGAATATTTTATTCTGATTTTTGAATAAATGAATATTGAGTGAATATCTATTCAATTCGTGTGAATGAATAATGAATGAATATTTTTTCATCATTCCTTTTTTAATCAATGCTTAATACATAGGGAAAGTTAAGAAATTCATCTAATACTATGAATTTTGAATAACACGAATAAGGAAGGAATGGTGAATAATGAATAAATGTTGAATAATTAATGAGTATTTTTTTTACAAATTATGAATGTTGAATAAGGAATAAATATTTTTTTTCAAGGCTTTGAATGAATAAACATTTTTTGAATAGGTATGAATCTACGTGGAGGAGGCAACAGTCGTAAGAAAATACAGATTTTCTACAGAACTTAGCTTTTTATCGCGCTTAAAATACTTTATTTTTACAAAATCATGACGACATTCTGTTTTTTTCTACGATAAAAACTTAATTTCCTCAGAAAACCACTATTTTCGTGCGATTGTTGCCTTCTCCAGGCAGATTTTCGCCTTTTTGTGGGTGTTCCATCCCCGGAAATCGAAACCCTGGGAAGAACGGAGTTATAAATACTCTAGTTTCAGAAAGTATGTAAGCCCAGCCCACCTAAATTTCGTAAATATTTTTGCAAAGTTTTCCGTCCGGGGTCCATTTTTTGGGAAATATTTGTATATCTCCGCCCTGTGGAAATTATGGCTTCATTGTCGCTAATATCTAATGAAATTTTATTAATTTTACTAATTTAAATAACTAATTTTATTGCTTGCAGGGCGCAAGCATTGCCGCTGTGACGGCGTCCTTCGACTTATCCTGCATGCGATATTCGATGCACATCCAGCCGCAGGATGGTGGTCAAGAGCTGATCGCGAACATGGGCGAAATTCTGGCCGGACAATTGGCAAAGTTTAAGGAAAGCAACGGTGCGTACCCGAAAAGGATCTTGATGTTTCGTGACGGCGTGTCGGAAGGGTACTTTCCCACGGTGAGAAAGAAATATTAAATAATTTGAATCTCAAGTGTGTAAATTAATTAATTGATTTGGTGGACAGGTTAAGCAGGAGGAGTACGAGCCAATGAAAGCCATTTGTGAATCGATCACGGAAAAGGAAGGAATCGATAAGATCAAGATAACCTTCGTGATCGTAAGCTTAACTAAGTTTCAGTAATTAATTAGCGTGAGATTGGATGATTTATGATCAAAATTAGCACGTTTTTAGTCATTTCTTAACTTTGGGAATTTATTTTAAAATTCTGGACGACAAATTTCCAGTCAGTGAGTTGATTAATCGAATAGCGCTGAGTTTTTTGAGCCAGTTTTTCGACGAGTTCCAATTTTTCTGAAGGCTTCTTAAACTTAAGACCTCCTGCCTCCTTCAAAAAGTGTCAAAATCTGGGGTGTACATTTAAAAAAATTGGGAACCAACGACCAGCTTTACGAATTGTGGTCCAGAATTTTAAAATAAATTCCCATTCTTAAAAATTTAGACGATAAGTTTGTTATCGAGTCCTTTGTTAACCAATTCTCAGTAATTTAGTTTGTACTAATTAATTATTATATTTTGTCTTTATCAGGTCAAGAAGCGGCACCACACGCGTTTTCAACCTATGGGTGCAAAAGACGGAGTCGGGACAGTGAGGAATTTTGAGCTAATTTGACACCAGATTTGTTACTTAAATATGATGATTTTGTGTATTCCAGTTCCAGAACATTCCGCCCGGAACGGTCGTCGATACCAAGATTGTGCATCCGTCTGAGAGAGAATTTTTTCTGAATAGTCACGTCGGCATTCAGGTGGGTGTGATTTTGTAATGATCAAAAATAGGAATAATTGATCCGCGAATATTTATTTTTGATCTGCAGGGCACCTCCAAACCCACGCGGTATCATGTCATTCATGACGACAACAATTTTACGATGGGAGACTTGCAGAAGATTACGTACTATCTCTGCTACGGATTTGTTCGATGCACGCAACCGGTCTCCTACCCTGCCGTACGTTTTTAATTTAATTAGTTTTATAATTGTGGGATTATATTTAAACATTTTAATCATTTGTTTGTAGGCGACCTATTATGCTCATTTGGCAGCTTTTCGGGCCCGTCACCTCATCGAAAGGGAAGGGTGAGGAATTTAAATAAATACTTGAAAAATTGAGTCACTCTAAACTTTGTAACATTTCAAAAGTTTAAAAACAGTTTTAAATACTTTAAATACTGTGGGAATAATTTTATTCCTACAAAGTTTACAAAGTTGACATGTGTGCAAATTTCTGAAACTTCTGAATTCTAATGTAACGTATTTATGACTTATGTTCCCCGTTTTTTAGGGAAAACGCTGACTTGAAAGACCTCGAGAGGAAGTTGACGATCCATCCCGACCTGGCCAAGCGATATCCAATGTTCTTCGTGTAAACTTCAGCTCACTCCATCAATTTCGCGATCGCAACATGATTCTAAATCCATTTAAATAAGTCTTAAATCAATCTCCCCTCATGTTATCAATTTCATGCTCGTAATATGATTGAATCATAGCTAAATCTATTGTGATAAGTCTTCCTCGTTGCTACAAAGACTTGTTAAATTTGATTAATAAAGTATGCGGATTTCTAATCTAGTTCGGATTATTATTTTAAACATATAAATGCAAAATTAGGGACTACATATGTTTTGGCACAATTATTCACTAAATTACAAGATATTCAAGACATTTTCATGATAAAAATTCCCATTTTTTAGATGCACGTTGCATATTTACTTATGAAATTAGTTTAATTAATTTTTTGCATAAATTGATTGTCGGAATACATGGATAAAAGCAATTTATTCAAGCTTTCGATACAGGAAATCAGATTTTGTTAACAATTTTTTGTAAATTTTGTAATTTAATGGCAGAAGATATCCAATGTTCTTCGTCTAAACTTCACCTCACCCGATCGATTTCATGATTATAACTTGGTTCTAAATCGATTTAAACAAGTCTTAAACCAAAGTCACCTCGCGTAATCAATTTCATACTTTTGACATGATTATATCATAGCACCTATTTTTTGTTACGTCTGAACAATAAAATTTGCCGGATTGATTTCTAGTAATTTTGCTCCTATATTTATGTATCCAACTAGATAAATTTACATCCAATACATATGTAAATTTAGTGTATTTTGCAAAAATCATGAATTTCCTGCCTCCTTAAATGATCCAAAGAGATGAAATTTTCTAGATAATTTGGAATCTACGCCTCGATTCAGAAGTTTCCACCGACAAGAAAGCTTACGACGCTGAGGAAGAAGGTGACCGAATATGGGGCTCGTCTCGCCGAATCGTTCCCGACCTCGGGGCCAGTTTCATTTCCGGGGAAGAAGAAGCGACCGTTGCAAAAGTCCTTGTCGTTACACTTGCAGTTGTAATTTTCATCGGGACTGCACGAATTCATGGGGAAGGGTTTGTCTGAGGGCTGTTTTTTGGTTTCATCCTCACAGAAGGTGCCCCATCCCTTTTTCTTGAGGCAGTATGGCTCTAAAAAAAATGGGCATGTGGGTCACGGATCTTTTAAAAACCGGAACTAAAATATCAAGAAACTAAACACAAATAACAGTTTTAGTCAACTGACAATTTCTGTAGAAATTCAAGGATTTAGGAAGGTTTTAAGTTGGTAAAAACGTGAATTTTGACCATGCGAAACTATGTGGCGTAGGCGTTCACCTTTCAACTTTCCGATGATAACCAGTGTTTTGGGTGCAAGTAATGTACTTGCAAGAAATAAGGGCAAAAAAGTGTTGTTTTTTTAGGTATTTTGACCTGCAAGAAATACAAAGTGCAAGAAACTATGCCCCGCCGCTGTACTCATGTGGCGCGTGGCTAGATGGCGCATATTTCGTGCACTTTATCCCAGTCTCTTGCACATTTCTTCTGTTTCTTGCTTTGCAGTGCAAGAAATAGTCGCGAGAAAGTGTTTTTTTTGCAGGTAAATATTTTGACCTGCAAAAAATGCGAGGCACGAGAAACTATGCCCTGCCGACATACTTCGTACGGCACGTGGCTAGATGGCGCATATATTTCTTGCACTTTCTCCCAGTTTCTTGCACCTCACATTTTTTGCGTTGCTCGCTTTGCATTGCAAGAAAGTTAGCAGGTCCACAACAAACGAAACAATAATGAACACTAACTCTTGTTTGGTTTTAGTTTCTTGATTTTGTAGCCCTGGTTTTAAGAAGATCAGTGAGAATAATGTCTGACCATACCAGTTCACTTTCATTCATGTGACTGATTATGATAGAGAATAATAGTGAATGAAAATGAATTTCCTGTTATTTACTTAAATGAAAATGACTGAAGGATTCCGTCATTTCAGATGAATGACTATGAATGAAGGATTTCTCACTCATTTCATTTTTCACCCTATGCTTAATACATGGGACGAAGTAAGAAATGAAGTCGAATGAAGTGAAATGAAATGAAATGAATTTGAACGAAAATGAGCGAGTGTAAATGAAAATCTTCAGTCAGAAATGAGGACGACTGAACTTTGAATGAAAAAAAGGTTTTTTGAACAGGTATATATGTGTCTGACATGTGGATTTTTAGTAAAAGCAGAGGATGATTAGAGGATATTTTAAAATGAGATATTTAAGTAAAAAAAAATTACTTCTATATGTGGATGGACATTGGGCCCGGTTTCTCGCCTCTTTTTTAGTCGCAGCGTTGAAGTCCTTGCATGACACGGAGTTTAAATATGTTTCACCATGCGCCAATTCTTCGGGTGGAAGGTCCGGCCTCTCATTCCATTGAATGACCCCTTTAAAGAAAAATATTGGGGGTCAAAGTACCCACGAGCGCCTTGATTTTCCCCTCGTGGAGGGAAAATTTACTAAAAAAGGGAACTTTTCCGTCATTATTTTTCTTCACATGGACCATTCAACGGAACGATAAGCGCCACGTGATTCCTAATTTTTGGCTTGATTTTTTGATATAACTCGCCCCACAATCCCGGTATAGCTTGAAAAAAAGGTTATCGTCTCGACCTCCGACGGCTTGCACTCTGTTTTCGCGGGTTTAATATATTTGTTGTAGAGTTTATTTATTTATTCTTAACGTTTTCATACCTTGAGCGGAAGGGAGGAGGTCGAAAATCATCACGACGGCGATGATTACAAGGAAGAGCGAGATTTTCATGCTGGCTTTGATGACCGTTCGAAAAACTGGTAACAAATGGAAGGCTTGTAAGACGTAAAATATTTGGAGAAATTTTGCTCCACTTACTTTTTCAGCTTGGTGACTAGTTTCAATAGAATTTATTCATTGCAAAATTGCTCCTCAAGTCACAAGCGCATCTTTACTCTTTTTACACACGATTGACGCAAAATTATTAGACACTTTATCAGTCTATATCAGTCTAGAGATTTTTAGCTTAAAAAATCAATCTAAAAATTACGATGATTTCATCTTTCAGAATTAAGTCTCTATGTCTGCCCATTCAAAAGTTATTATAGATCAAAATAGTTGGTGTCTGTGCGATGGACTTCAGACACCAATGATTTTAAAAATAATTATTTTATTTGTAACTCGACCATTTGTCGCAACCGTTAAGGGAGACGCATTACCTAGATACTTAAGGTCAAGCAATCGTGCGATTGACGATTAGTCAACATTTATTAGTGCCTAAACTCCGTTTCAAGCTGTCTGAGTTCACCGCCTTGAGGACATTACATTACATTACCCGAACGAGCCGAATTATTTTATTACTAGCGTATAGCCCGGCCAAGGCCGGATTCTAGAGTTCCAGTGGGGGGTGTGCCCAAAGCGAAAAATCCGTCATACTATATTTTAAATAATTCCCAGTGGAGACTTTGTCATACTACATACATACATCAGACTGAGGGTTTGCCCAAGTCATACTGCATTTTAATTAACCTGGTCACAGTAAAATTTGATTCCCCCCTGTGGGAGTAGTTGAATAGCTAATTACTTAAATTCCCGTCGCGTGGGAGTGAAGCAGGAGAGTTTTTAAATATGTGCATGTAAATACATGTATGTACATAAATATATTTGTTTTAAATATGTATGTAGAAAAATTAAGTCTCATCTTATTCAAATTTCAAATTTTGTTTCATAATTTCTGCTTAATTTTTGATTTAGTAACTTATTAAACGGCCGTAATTCTGACGTAGTCGATCTGCATGGCGGCATTTTCTCCGGCCCACGTGGGATGCCAGGCGTTTCGGGCGGCCCAAAATTCTGCAAAGGCATTTCCAGCATCGTTCCTCCATGGTTTCGGGGGTTGCACGTCATCCGGGAAAAATCCATTGGTTCCTCCGACAGCGACGTTTAGAAGGATGTAAAACTGTGGGAGGAAGTTATTCAAATCATTAAATGGTGCGGTTCAGCGTCACATTTTGCAAAGAATTCGATGAGTAATCAAAATTAGCGCATTTTTAATCATTTCTGAGCTCTGGGAATTTCTTTTGGAATTCTGGAAGACAAATTTGTATAGCAGGGAGTTCCCAATTTAAAAAAAATTTACACTCCAGATTTTGACACTTTTTGAAGCAGGTGATCTCAAGTTCAGAAACCCTTCAGAAAATTGGAACTCATCGAGACTGGGAATTTATTTTAAAATTCTGGATGACAAATTTGCCGTCAGTGAGTTGATTAATGGAGTGGGATCGAGTTTTTTGGGCCAGTTTCGACGAGTTCCAATTTTTCTAAAGGCTTCTTAAACTTGAGATCTCCTCCGCCAAAAAGTGTCAAAATCTGGAGTGTATATTTTTAGAAGATTGGTAAATCCCTGCTCTACAAATTTATCGTCCAGAATTTTAAAATAAATTCCCAGAGCGGAGAAATGAGTAAAAATGTGCTGATTTTGGTGATGCGTTATCGAGTCATACGTTAAATACGAACGTACCTCTTGATCGAAGGGGGCCATTCTTGGGTTATCCGCGCCAGTCCATGGGTTATGAACATCGTTGGGAAATCCGCCCAATTCCCAGAAACCGCCCGGTGGTGGGGTCGTAGTTCCGACGACGACGCCATCCAACAAGTGACGAATGTAAGCTGAGGACAAAAAATAATAATGAGAATGAAATGATTCTTGAAGACAGTCAAGATTTTTAAAAAAGTGGTGGCTGGGGGAGCCAGGAATTTTCCAAAGTTTCTGAAAACGTTTGAAATTCCCTATGAATAGTCTAGGGAAATTCCTCTGAAACTTTCGAAAATTCGGGGGAAATCAAGGAAAGGGGTTTGTTTGCGAAGGCATTCGAACGTTTCTGGAAACGTTGGAAATTCCTTAGGAATAGTCTAAAATTCCTCTGAAATTTTCGAAAATTCGGGGAAAACCAGGGGGAAAGGGGGTCTTTCGTGAAGGAATTCGAAAATTTCCGGAAACATTTGAAATTTTACGGGAATATTCAAACTTTCAAAAATTCCCGGGAATATTCGGGAACATTCGAAAATTCCTCAGGGTTTGCCAGACCGCTCGCTAATGTCCCCCTGCTTCCTCCTCCAATATTTCGTTTGGGGGAAAGGGAGTTGTTTTTTGGGGAAGGCATTCTAAAGTTGCCGGAAACATTTCAAATTTCCTGGAAACTCTCAAAAATTCCCGGGAACATTCTAACTGGACCCGGCTTATGTTTCAAATCTGACTTACTGTCGGTCCACTCGACCGCATAGACGTGGAAGGCCGTGTCGTAGCCTTGGTCGGGTGGCGCCTGGGTTTCGTAGTGGGCGTTGGCGTACCCGTTGTACGGGAAGTAGGGCCCGTAATGCGAGGTGTACGAGATCTGTTCCGTTCCGATGTTGACGCCTTGCAGGTTGAACAACCGCTTGTTTCCGCGAGACTCCATGATATCAATTTCACCACTGGCGGGCCACGTGCCGTACGAGTTGTGACGCGGGAGCATCCAAATTGCTAGAAAAGGGGGAGGAATATTACTAAAAATTGAGGTTCCGATCCGATTTTGAGCAAATTAGTGGGAATCAATGGCAAATTTAATTAGTATGAAATTTGCGAAAGACACGATCTCCAAAAGGGCACGTTTGACCGAGCTATTTACATCCGAAAAGGAGAAAACGCGTCGAAAAATTGATAAATTTTCCCATTTTTAAATTTCCTACACGCTTTTTTTCCTGTTCGGATGCAAATATCTCGGCCAAGCGTGATCAGTAGGAGATCGTGTTTTTCGCAAATTTCATCCTAATTTATTTATACTAATTTGCTCAAAATCGGAGAGCAAAATGCTGAAATTTTACATACCAGGCCAGAGCCAGTCTCCAGCGGGAATCTTGGCACGAACTTCGACCTTTCCGTATTTGAAGGAGAATGAGTTGACGGTACGGATTCGGGCGGACATGGCGGGGTTAATAATATTTCCGCCAGCGCCGGATCGCTCGCAACCGTAGTAGGCGGGGTTGGTACCTGAAATGAAGGCGTCAGTGAAATTAATGGAATAAATGGGTGAATTTTGGGGGTCATATTTTAACAAATTCTGGCCAGTTTTTAACAAATTCTGGCCAGTTTTTAACAAATTCTGGCCAGTTTTTAACAAATTCTGGCCAGTTTTTAACAAATTCTGGCCAGTTTTTAACAAATTCTGGCCAGTTTTTAACAAATTCTGGCCAGTTTTTAACAAATTCTGGCCAGTTTTTAACAAATTCTGGCCAGCTTTTAACAAATTCTGGCCAGCTTTTCACAAGTTGTCGGCCAGTTTTTGAAGAATTCTGGGCTGCATTTTTGGAAATTTTGGGCCAATTTTTTGGAAATTCTGGGCCTGTTTTTTGACGAATTCTATGTTGCTTTTTAATGAATTATGGACCCCATTTTGACAAATTCTGGGCCAGTTATTTTTATTTTTTTGACACATTTTGGCGAACTTTGGGGCCTTCAGTTTTAGCGAATTGTTAATTATGTAAATAATAACTTGCTACTGCTTACACTCATCGGCAGGTGCTCCTCCTAACAAGCTGAGAGTTCCCGTCTCCACGAAGTTTTCTCCCCAGCGATCATTCGTCAAAGTTGGCATCAAGTAAAGGATCCCGTCGCGCGTGTAGCTGTTAAATCGGGTGTTGGAATAGACTTGGAATTCCCAGTTCTGTGCAAAATACATGAATAATTTTTTATATTTTGAATCAATCTTCTACCCAATTTTGCACTTAAATTCTGCGTAATTTATAATTTCTATTAATTTTTTCCCCCAATTTTGCACTTACGCCGCCTCCACTCATGGTAATTTCGTGCTGCCAAACGCTGAGGTCAAAGCGGTCAAAGGTGTCTTCAAACATGAGGTCGCCAGGGGCATAGACGCCACCCTTGTTGGTCGACGAGGTCGAAATGGAGACATCTAAAAATGCAAAAAGTTATGCTTTTTGTGCTTAATAACGTAGGACTCGATTATTCATCGTAAAATTCAGCACATTTTATACCATTTTTCTGTCAAAATGGTCAAAATCATCCCGTTTCTCCATTCTGGGAATCTATTTTAAAATTCTAGACGACCAATTTGTGGAGCAGGGAGTTCCCAATTGTTAAAAAATATGTACACTCCTAATTTTGACCCTTTTTGAATGAGATCTCAGGATTAAGAAGCCTCCAGAAAAATTGGAACTCGTCGAAACTGGCTCAAAAAACTCAGCGCCATTTCATTAATCAACTCACTGACTGCAAATTTGTCCTTCAGAATTTTAAAATAAATTCCCAGAGGCGAGAAATAACTAAAAATGTGCTGATTTTGATGAGGAATTTCCAAAAATTTCGAAAAACCTTACTTCTCCCACTGGCGAGAACGGCGACAATTGCCGAACAGAAAACGAAGGCTACTTTCATGATGCTGATTCCTCTTGGAATTTACCTACGACTAATTAAATGTGGAAGTTATCCAGGTTTTTATATGGATGCATTCGTCTCCCACCCACGCCTTGGGCACGGTAGGGAGGTGATGGATAAGGTATGGGCTTATCGGGATAAATATAAACCAAGTTCGTCCCATTATTGAATTGATACAGAAATATGATTGATTACTGGAAAGGGTGCATGGTTTAACTAATCATTAAGTGAATGCGTGGCGTGACATTGGCATTTCTGCAACAAATGGGTATTGTCTTGTCTAAATTTTTTGCAAATAATCGGATCCGTCGTGGTGGTGGTGGATTTGATTTAAAATTTATGCGATAATGCAGAAAATAATGGTGATATCATGGTTAAATCGGGATGGAGAGTTCCAGTCGCAGGGCAGAAGAATATTATGAATTATATAATGTCACGTACGTGGTGGTGGGCTGGCTGGGTGTGGTGCACGCGCCCAATGGCCGCGGAAGCGTGGGGACAATGTGGGGATAATTTTGATGCCATTGATAAAAGTCACACCCACTTTGCATAATACATTTTCTCATCAATTATAAAATAGGAATATGTAACTACTAATTAATGAGAATTAAAATCATGTCGACCATACGTACCCGCCAGGGTTACAAGTGATATATATCACTGAGTGAGATTTAGTGAGATTTAATGATATATATCAATCATCTCACTTGGGGCTGAGTGAGAAATATGAGAAATAATGAGATAAACTTGTAGTTGATGACCACGTCCGCTAGGTGGCGCTAGTGCATGACTCATAAATCTCACTATATCTCATATTTCTCATGTCTCACTATTTCTCATTATATCTCAGTGAGATGAGATTTGTGAAGGTGAGATGAGATTTCTGCAACCCTGGTACCCGCGTGGACAGTGACCGCGGAATGGTGGGGGACAGAGGGACAATGCCCCCACAGTTGTTCGATGTCCCCATAATCTCCCCATCTTATAGATACACTCAAAATAAGGTAGTAATGAATCATTACCATGCGGAATGACTATGTGGCTCTACCACGTCGGTTACGATTTGTCGTAGAAATGGTAATAATAAGTTCAGGGAAATTCAAATTCATTACCAAATATTAAGGAAGTGAATTCCATTATGTACTAAATTTCCCTCCTAGAATGGCAATGTCCCACATGTCTCCCGGCTTACGCGGCCACTGGTGGTGCCCATATGCAAATTGGAAAGAAGGTTAATTAATTTACGGTACAATCAGCTAAATTATTTTATCGGAGAATTAATTATTAAAGTATGCCGTGCACACGGCGAAGGGATTTTTTAAGCATGAAACGAGCACTTTTTATGGAAATGAGTGCATGCAAACTAAAATTTGTTTGGATCCCGTGATATAATTGAAAAGTATGGGTGACTGGGTTCCAATTTAGAATGGAACGTGTTATCAATGTCATAAATTAAGTTCTTGTCATTGTGTAGCTTTTTATATTTGATAATTAATTCATATACTTGAACAAATATGGGATGAAATCAGCCCTAATTTTAAGTTTGTTTTGGTGGAACTTCAGAAATTTGAAATTCAGAAATTTTTAGAAATTGGAGGCGTATGAAGTGAAAAAGATCCTCATCAGATCGCAAAAGCTAGAATAAATCTAACGATGATTTAAACTATTTAATTTTGGAATTTTGCATTTTTGTCGTATAAATCAAGCTAAATAATTTTAACTTTCTGGTGGAATTCAGAAATTTTTAGAAATTTTGAGAATTTTAAATTCTATGTGCAAAAGTTGTTCGATTACAAATCTTTAAAAAGGTGTTCGCTATCAAAATTTTGTAAGATTGCAGTTATGTCGGAAAAATCAAGCAATTTTGATGTACTCGGTGTTAGATGGATTTTCAGAAATTTTATACGTTCAAGTTTTTACTAATTGCTATTAATCACCTCGCTTAAATATGAGATGAAATCAACACTAATTTTATGGACCATAAGGGTAAAATTAGTGGTGCACCATAAGTTATGGTGCAACTTCAGAAATTTCAAATTCAGAAATTTTTAGAAATTGGAAGCGTATAAATTGCAGTGTTTCTGCTGTTAAAAAACACCTCACGGACTCCAAAATGGTAATTTTTTTGTTCAAAATTTGTAAGGAGCAAATCCTATCATATATATATATATTCTTGACCAGGGTGACCCAAGGAATGCGCCTAATTTTTTTTGTGAGGTCACACCCCCCGGGGGGCGAACCACCCCCCCTGTGGGGGGAAGGTGAGACTAACCCCTCAATATTGTTAAGCAACTATCGCTGATGTTATCTGCCCAATTTCAGAATTTTAGCCCTCATGGTTCGGGTGGTTCATGCATTTGAAGGTTGTAAAACAGGCGTTTTGGGGTTGTTTCGACCACACCCCCTGCCCTAAGTGGCAAACATCGGCAAGTGAACTTGGTGCAGTTTGGTTTACCCCCTCGAGTACTACATAATCCTACAAAGGTTCCTTGGAAGTGAGCGGGATGCTCTAGATATTTCATGCCGAAATCGACCAAAACAAGTTTTCGAACTAAACCAAAAAAATGTGATGTAAAATGGTGAAAAAAGATGATTTCTCATTCGAAATAGTTTTGGGCAACTATGTTTGACTTTGAATAGAAGAAAACTTTCAGTATTTACACTGTTGCCATTTCGTAAAATCGAAATGGGGCGGACTCGCTTAAATTTTGCCGCCCTTATCGTGGGGCAGACTCGGTGATATATGGAGGCTGCCCAACTAGAGACCTAGAGGGGTCAACAATTTAAATATTTGCCTGGCACTATATTTCACTCGCCAAAACTATTTCGAATGAGAAATCATCTTTTTTCACCATTTTACATCACATTTTTTTGGTTTAGTTCGAAAACTTGTTTTGGTCGATTACAAGTTTCACATAAAGTCCAGAAGAACAATGCAAATGTGCAATTTAATTACTAATTTTTACTGCAGGCAATATTATTCTTTTGTATGTTTTTCGAACTAATACGTACAATTAAAAATTAAATACCTTATCAAAGTCCGGCAGCAGGATAAACGCAAAAACAAAGCATGAGAGGATCGTAAATTTAAAAACATCAGGCCATTTAGTGCTAGTAATTAAGCAGTAAAAAATCATAACATATTCAAACATATGTATAAACGAGGTGTGTTTAAGTCAACAATGGATATGAAACTACACAAACTTGCATCCATGCATAATTATTTATCTCAACGAATATTAACGTCATGTCCATTCATACCCATTTGTCAAGGGGAGGGGGATTATCCATAATTGGTAAGGGGGGATATAGCCTTCATTTGCCCCACGTGTTAAAAAATTAATGTAACATGCAAGAAATATTCGATTTTTCATTGATGTCAGTTATAGATTATAGTCTTCATTTGCGCCACGTGTTCTTAAAAATTGACGTAATCCGCAACAAAAAAGTCGATTTTCCGAGGCGTCATGTACGGATTTTTTGTACCACGTGTTAAAAAATGACGTAATCCCCAACAAAAAAAAACCGATTTTTCCGAGGCATCTTTTACGGATGTAGTCTTCATTTGCGCCACGTGTTCTTAAAATTGACGTAATCCGCAATAAAAAAGTCGATTTTTCCGAAGCGTCATTTACGGATTGTGTAGCCTTCATTTACGCCACGTGTTAAAAAACTGCAACGAAAAAGAGATTATTTTCCGTGACATTTTACATATCCATGTAAAAATGTATGTATGGATTGATGGTTTCCTGGCCCTCGTGAAATACAATCACTTTATGAAGCAGAGGAGACAGCCTGACTTTATAATAACGGAATTGCATATTTCATCCCACATCACTGCAGAGAGAGTTAGTAAGTTTAAGGAATTGTGTGCATGCATGTTGTTAAGCACATGTGGATATGGAATAGTTTTAGTTATGTTATGTCACAAATCCCATGTTATTATGGACACAATTCATATGTAAGCGTATGCATCACATGGGCAGATAAGCAGTTATACATGGTTATGATAGTATAGTTGCGTCATTAAATAAACCCTCCAAACGAATGTAAATAAGTAGCGTCAGACCGATTCAAGTTTCCTTTAAAGTTTCCGTATATGACCTCGTCCCAACGGTCATGAGGTCAAAAATATTAACGCCCCTGAAATCGCAGTCTAATTTCCTTTAAAATGACTCCCCATATGACAATTATGAATCTCTTGACCTTTGACCTCGTCCTCAAGGTCATAAGGTCAAAAATATTAGCATCCTTGAAATCGCAGTCAAATTTCCTTCAAAATGATATCCCATATGACAGTTACGTATTTTTTGACCTTTGACCTTGTCCTTAAGGTCACGAGGTCAAAAATTTTAACGCCATTGAATTCGTGGTGAAATTTCCTTTAAAATGACACCCCATATGAAAATTAATGTTAAATTTAATTTGGACCACACCCCCTGGCGCTGTGGGGTGTGGTCCGATTGACCCCATTTTCGAACTCGACCGAGAACTAAAAATTAGAAGCACAATGGCGAAAACGGGGTTTGATTATGTTGAGGCATTCTAAAGATATCCTGCTTACGGACGGACGGACGGACAGACGGACGGACGGACGGACAAAACGATCACAATAAGTAGCTGACGCTACTTAATAAGTGTCAGTTTAACTCGTCATTCCTTTATGTGCATTCATAATCCTGTTGCTAAACTGGAATGTACAGAAGACAGACAAATAATCCGTCACGTTTTTAATAAACATTTACTGGACACAGTTTAGCTTTGTTTTCACGGGGGAGGAATTTCAGTACTTGTTTTTTTTGGATTTTGAAAATAACTAAACGAGAAGTTTTAAGGCAGAAATTACATAACTTGTTGAATTTCATGTGGACTTATTCATCATCGTTAAGGTGAGCTTATCAAGTTTTTTCCGGTGGGTGGAATTTCACTAATAATCTGTTTTTTTTTAAGTAAAAAAGTAGAAATGTTCAAAGGTTGGCTAGAAATAGATAGTCAGGAAATTTTGAAAATTGGACTCAATCAAAGTGAAAAATGTGTTTTTATTTAACCAAACGTGTCATTTGTAACGTGGCCTTGTCATCCACTCACTTAAGGTGTGCTTATCATCATCGGATGATAAGTGTGTAGGAGGAAAATTGACGTATTTTTTAATTAAAAGTGATTTTGTGTACAACCCTGTGCAATTTTCAATTGCATTATTTATTGAGTCTGGATCTTTATCGGGAGAGGAGGGTTTTACACTACGTGTTCAAGTCCATTGTCCACTTTTGTGCTGAATAATTGCACAGTTGGCTTATCGAAAGTGAAATAATAATTGTTGAGCGAGATAAGGGAGCGAGAGAGCTCAAGTGATACATTAATTTGAATAGAATAGAAGTCTGATAGATTGTGCACGAGGTCAGGTGCACGAGGAATTTGGGATTGGATTGATTTTTTTTCAGGTGTGTGGTGTTATTAAGGGTTTGGATTTTTTGCAATTTTTTTTGCGAAGTCTAATACAAGGTAGAAATTTTTGAATTATTTGAAATTCAGGAGTTAAATATAGATAAAATTTAGATTAGAAACTTGACAAATTTGGCAAATTTAACCCATTTTAATGGGAAAATTGCAATTGATTTTTGGATTTTGCTGGTGTGTTTAAATTTTCAGATTTTGTTTTGTATTTTTTACACATTGCAATTGATTTTTGGATGTTTCCGGCTTGATTAAATTTTCGGATTTTTTTGTATTTTTTTACGAAGTTTGACGCCAGGTATAGATTTTTGAAATATTTTAAATTACGTAATTAAATATAGATTAAATGTACATGCTTGGATTTTTGCGAATTTTTTGCGGATTTTTGTTTGTAAAGTCTGACACCAACTAGAAATTTTTGAATTATTTCAAATTCTGTAGTTAAATATAGATAAATATAGAAAAATTTAGATTTGTAAGTCAAGAAACTTGACAAATTTAACAAATTTAACACATTTTAATGGGAATTTTAATCGAAACATTTGAATTGATTTTTGGATTTTTCTAGTGTGATCAAATTTTCGGATTTTGTTTTATATTTTTTACGAAGTTTGATGCCAGACAGAGATTTTTGAATTATTTAAAATTGCGTAGTTAAATATAGATTAAGTGTACAGCGTGGTCAAATTTGCAGCACATTATAATAATTACTTAAATGCACAAATATTGACGCAAGGTAGAAGATAATGAATTATTGAATTAATTTCGAAAGTACAAACTTTAACGCCAGGTGGAATTTTTTTAATTGCTTGTAATTTGTTATTGATATAAATTTAGATAATTTTGACATCAGTAGAAAAAAATTGCAGAACATTTTAATTGGAACATTGCAATGATTAATTTCGTGCACGAATTTTGACGCAAGGCAGACAATTTTTAATTAGTTGAGCAATTTTTAATTGTCTAATTTTTTAATTGTTTAATTGTACAAAGACAAATTTTTGAAAAATTATAATTTTGAATGTACAAATTTTGACGCCAGATGGAAATTTTTGAACTATTTGAAATTTGTTATTAATATAAATTTAGATGCTTTTTAAAATCACAGGATAATGGGAATATTGGGATAGTCAATTTAATGCAGAAATTTTGACCTCTGTTAGAAATTTTTGAAATATTTGAAAATTATTATATACATGCAAAAGATAGTCTTGAAATTGGGCATTGAACATACATTCATATAGAAGATGTAGAGTAATAAGAATGCATAAGCCATATTGAGACCCAGAGAACCAATAACGCTGGACGGCGTGGTATTCGACCCCTCCCACCCAGCGACAGCCAATCAAAAAATTCTTCCAGTTAAATATTATTAATTATATCTTTTTTAATTTTCGGAGTCTGACTTTATCAAAAATGGGGTGAATTGTACACGTTGTACGCCGAAATCGAAACAAATGCATATTTTTGATTGTTTGAAAAGCTGAAAAAAACTGAGAGGTTATAGCGAAAAAGCCCGAAAACCTCGCCGTCGTCTGCTATTGGCTCTCAACGTGGCTTACACTTCCTTATGGAGTTAAACCTTCTAGGTCTCCTTTAGGAGGCTTATCCACTTTTCTCTGGAAACTGGGGAAAAATTTGCACAATATTTTAATGGAAATAGTTAATTTTGCTTACAAATTTTGACGCAAGGTGGAAATTTTTTAATAAAATAGTTGCGTAATTTAAGATTGTCTCAGGTTCAAAAAACTGGAGTAGTTCGAAAGTTTGGTAAAATTATGGAAAATTTCATTGAATTCAATTTTGAAATTGTAAATTTTAACGCCAATTAGACATTTTTGAATTATTTTAAATAGTTTAGTTACATATTTAGATAAGTCTTCAAGATGTGATGAATTTTGGGAAAAAATTTTAACAGGAACGTTATAGTAATTAGTTGTTTTTACAAATTTTGAGGCAAGTTAAAAATTTTGTTATAATTTTGAAAATATAATTTTGACGCCAGATGGAAATTTTCGAACTATTTGAAATTTGTTATTGATACAGATTTAGATAGTCTTGAAATCAGGCGAAAGCTTGGTATCTATTAAGACGATCGTATTGGGCTAAATTTCGATGAATTATAAAACGATGAAGCCCACGAATGATTTTTCTGATTTTTTTATACGATATCAAACAACTTTCAAACTACTATTCCTGAAAATTTCAGCAATGGTACATGCCCACAAGTGGAGAAACAAATATTCTCCTGGGCTATGTTTAACACGTATTTAGATAGGCCAAAAACAAAAACGCAAATTAAAATACGAAGCCCACGAACGATTTTGTAAATATTTGCATATGTTGATGGTCATACTATTGGTGATTTTTCATCAAAGAATTTAAGATGGTACATTTCTAGATTTCGAGCAATAAATTCAAATGCATCAAAAAACAGGGAATAAAATGGAAACCATGCAAAATTACCACAGGTATTAATAAAATGGTAACCATGTTGCGCGTTGCTACAATTTTGCATAAAATTTCCAATGTTTATAAACCAAAGCCCGACAAGAAAAAAACATTGATTACATTCATGGGTTGGAAGTGACTCAAACAGGACCCTTGGAGTTATAGTAGACATGCTGAATAATTGTTTGATAGTATAATTTGCCAACTCGCCAAGTTTGCAGTTAATCGGGGTTCATTTGACAAAGTTGAAAATGAACAGACAGACGAACAGACAGACTGGCAAAACGGTTCCCCAAGTCTTAAATCGGGGTAAGAATCATTGAGCTCTATTTACCAATCAAAAACCACTGACAACCAAACGAATTTTGATAAGATATATTAGCCCAAAAAATCGCCTTAATTTCTTATCAAAATAATTCAAAACTCATCGAAATTTAGCCCAAAACGATCACCATAACAGATACCCTTCTTTGTACCTCATTTTAATGGGAACATTGAAATGATTAATTTTATGCATAAATTTTGACGGAAGTTAAAAAATTTATGGGAAATTTTAATTCAGAATTTTCCCATTTTGACGCAAGGTACGATGTTCGAATTATTTGAAATATTTTCAGTACGTGGATTCAGATAGTCTTGAAATTTGTCAAAATTGGCACAACACTTTGACGGGAATATTTCAATGATTAATTTTTATATCGAAATTTTGAAACAAGGTAGAAATTTTTTTAATATCCAGAAAAATTTTAAAATTCGTAATTACATAATTAATTACACATTAATAGTTATGCATTTCGAGGTATTGAAATTTCTAAGCCTATTTAAAATACTAAAAAATATGTCAAATTCTGTGATTTGTTTTTGTAGAATTGGGTGAAATGTGCTCAAGTTTTTTGATTTTTTTGCAATTTTTTTTGCGAAGTTTGACGCCAGGTAGAAAATTATAAAATATGAAATAATCAAATTACATGTATTAAGACTAGGGAAGGTAATCCGTATCCTAAATTAACCGATCCGTAGGATAGGATCGGATAAATACAGGATCGGATCGGATCGGATCGGATTTGCTCGCTTTAGGATCAGATCGGATCGGATTTGCTCGCTTTAGGATCGGATCGGATCGGCTCCCGGTTCTACTCGAAATTTGATGCGATCCGATCCTAGAATCGTAGGATATCCGGGGATGATCCAAGATTCGCTTGATATGTGTGAGACACCTTGTGTCCAACTATGGAAAAACTTTACCAGCTGCTTTTCTTTATTTATTGGAACGGTTTTTGGTGAGTTCATCACATGGCGTACATTACCCGAATGAGCCGAATTATTTTACACCAGTTATTTTTATTTCGGCGTTTAAATTATTCAGTTTCGTATGATTTCAGCAAATGTGAAACGAGTTTACATCGGATGATCCGAGGATCCTTTCAAGGACGTTTCAAGATTGTCTTAATTTAAGACAATCTTGAAACGTCAAAATAAATTAGCAAAACATGTTTAACTGGAATATTGCAATAATTAATTTTGCATGGAACGTTTGACGCAAGGTAGAAAATTTTAAAAACCAGCAACAATAGTACGAAAATTTAATAAATTTATGAAAAATTGTAATAATTTTGAATTTACAAATTTTTTACGGTAATGTAGAATTTTCAGCTAGTTGAATAATTATTATTTTTGTTTGGTAGAGAATTGATTTGTAAAATTGCAATAACTTTGTTAACGGTCTAATCAAATTATTATTTTGGAATGTCCAAATTTTGACGCCACGTGGAAATTTTAGTTAATTAAGGTAGTTATTACGTTTCAAAGATATTGCTGAGAGAAAACGGGTCAAAATGTGTGGAAATTGGGAAATATTTTGCAAAATTTTGAAAAATTTGTGTACGTGCATTTGATTTAAGGGAAAACTACGCAATAAACACAGAATTGGTAAATTTATATGAAATTACGATAATTTTTTTTTACTTTACAAATTTTGACGCCAGGTGGAAATTTTGCACAATTAAGGGCCTGGGGGAAGTTGCTTAGAAATCACGTCAACTTTGACGATAAAATTCAGCAATGCACAAGAGGGCAGATTTTTTAAATTATGTTTAATGCGTTAATCATATCTTTAGATTTTACTTGAGTTTTTTTTGACGATCTGCCCTCTTGTGCAGTGGAGATATTTGGTCGTAAAGTGAGGACAAATTGGCTTAGAATTGCCAAATTAATGGCAGGAATTGCATTTTGAGTATCCATGGAACAAAAGAAACAACTTTTTTTCAAAAACTTGAGGGACTTGAGGGAAACTTTTTCAAAAGCAGTGACAAAACCAAAGCTTTTGAACGTGAGTGTCCCATAGAAACGGTGTCAATTAATTGTGGTCGTAACCTAACAGAGCGATAATAATCTTGGGGCCCTGGCAATTATTGTTGCTAACATAAAATCAAGTAAATCTTCCCCCGGGCCCTTAAGTGAATAATTAAGTTTCTGAGGTTCATCATTTATTATTGTTATAGAGAAAAAATATATCGTAGGTAATGTGAAATTGGGAATTTTTTGTAAACAACTTTTGTGCGTATTTTCTTTTAGCAAAAAATACATCATAAACGCTGAATTAGTAAATTTTGTTTAAAATTTGTTTTTTATTTGTTTGTACAAATTTTGATTCTACAGATTTTGACGCCAGGGTAAATTTTACGTAATTAAGTTAATCATTAAGTTGCTCAGGTTCGTCGAATAGAAACCAAAATTGTGTGGGAAAATTGGAAAATGAAAAAATGGAAATTTTTGTAAGTAACCTTTTGTGCAAATTTTCTTTCAGCCAAATTTGCACCATGAACGCACCCACGCCCACGAAACGGGCGAAATTATCCTGCTGCGATGTCGACTTTTTGGTCAAACTGCACCAAAGTTTTGGAGTGAATGTTAACAACCAAATTCGTGCTGGAGGTAAGGATGGAGCTTGCCCGTGTCAAGCCGATAATATTTGTCATACTTGTCATATTTGACCATAAAATTTGTCAAATATGCCATAATATTTGTCATATTACTCGTGTTTGACCAAGAACTTGTCACAATTTCAATGCCACCGACATTTATGACGGACAAATTGGACATTTATGGCAAATATGACGAACAAATTTGACATGTATGACAAATATGACAAACAAATTGGACATTTATAACAATTGTGACGGACAGATTGGACATTTATGACAAGTATGAAAAGTTCAAATTCTGATAAATGTCATATTTGTCATATTTGTCACAAATTAGACATTTCTGACATGTCAATACGTCAATTTGTCAATGGCATGTCATTCATGATGCATATCTTCTAGGTGGTGGTGACGCTTCTGCTTCTGCTCCGCCGGAATTGACGACCTGCCTGCGCCAAAGTTTCCTCAGCCTGTTAAATTACGGGGCGGACGTGAACATCAACCTGAACTGGAGGCGGGCGCTGGACCACGACGAAGAAGAGGTGACCCCTCCGACGCCGTTGAACTTGACCCTTTGCGAGGGCGAGGTCAACTGCGACGTGGACCACGAGCGACCTCCGTTGCACGAGAGTGACCAAGTTCAGGCCAGGATGGACCAGGACGTCCTTGTCAGACTGCTGACGAATGTGGGCATGGGCATTAATTGTCCGCAGTTACCGGGCGATGCGGACCCCTTGGTGCTGGAAGAGGTGAAAATAGTTGAGGGAAAATTGGAAAAATTTTTCGGAAACATTTTTTTTGAGAGATTTGAGGATTTTTTAAAAGAATTACTGAATAATTATTTTTTATGCCTAAATTTTCAAGCATGGATTGGATGAAGTTTTGTAAAATTGGGAAAATTGTTCCTTGAGATTTTATGACTTCTGTAGAATTATTGATGATTTTAAAATATTTTTTTCGCAATTTTCAAGAATGTAAAATTAGGGAATTTGTAATGCAAGATTTTATTATCTTTTGAAGAATTATCGATGATTTTTTTCATATTTTTTCGTACCTAAATGTTCAGGCACGCAAAATTTGAGAGTTTCTTTCTAATTTTATAATTTTTTGCACTATTGTTTATGCTTTTCTCATTTTTCTGAAATTAGAGAAACTTTTGTAAAATCCAACAAACATTTCAAGGTTTTATAACTTTAAACTGTTAATGATTTTTAAATATTTTTATATCAAAATTGTCAGACGGAAACTTGCAGAAAGTTTTGCAAAATTAGAGAAATTTTTCTTCAAGATTTTATGACTTTTTGAACAATTATTGATAATTTTCTTTATTTCAGGCGCGCCAACGCTTCGCCGTTCTAAAAGCGCTCGTGACCTTTGGCACTGACACGAATCGCGTCCGTTCCCGTTGCGAGCGAGACGAGGTCTCGAACAGTTGCGAATTTTGTTGGAATTTGCAATTTCTCCGGAACTTTGGCACCTTTCAGACCATGGGGGAAAAGAGTATCGAGTCCTGCGAGAGGATGAGGCGCCTCGTGCTTAACGCCCTGCTCGCGACGGGGTCAGAGGTCAACGGGATTCGGTGCGGGGGTGCGGCCGCCCTTGGTCCCGAATCTGGCGGACAGTTTGGAGGACATTACAGAATTACGGATTTATTAGTTACGAATGGACATAAAGTTAATTCTGTGATGAGTGAGGATGATTATTGACGACAAAGGTTTTTGTAAAATTAAGTTTCTTTAGGAAACATTGAAAATTTTTAGATTTTTAGAATGTGATTGATGTATTTATGTACATTTGGAGAGGAGTACAATATTACTGCCGTGTAAATAGATTAATACTTTGGCGAAGAGTTTATTATAATTAATTTATGTAAATATAATTAACTAAACAATTAATTACGATAAATATCGGTAATTATACGTATGAAATTTGTAAACTTAACTTCTGTGATTTATGCTTGAAAATTTTGATATTTTGAGCGTGTAATTGTGCGAGGGGTACTTGTCCTGTCCTTCCTTAATAATTTTATGTACTGCCATGTAAATATGTAAATAGTTTGATAAGGTTTACAATTAATTGCTGAATAATTTCATAATTAGTAATAATAATAATTAAGATTTTCAGAAAAAATAACAAAAATTTAAGAATTTGAGGACGCGGTTTAAAGAGAAAAACTTGTCCTTCCTTAACAATATTACGTATTGCCGTGTAAATAAAGGTTTATAATGATTAATTGAGGTGTATTTAATTGCATAAATAATTAAATGGATAATAATAGTAATTGAAATTTTTAGCAAAAATTGAAAATTTTGACCCAATGTAGAAAATTTTAAATTGTCTCAGGTTCAATAAACAAGAGTAATACGAAAATTTGATAAAGTTCGGAAGAATTTTGAATTGCGAAGTGATCAAATTTTAGGACAAAATAATGGGAACGTTAGAATAATCAATTGTTTGCACCAATTTTAATGAAAGTTAAAGTTTATGGAAAATTATAATTTTGAATGTACAAATTTTGACGCCAGATGGAAATTTTTTAACTATTTTCAATTTATAAATGATATAAATTTAGATAATAGTCTTGAAACAGGCGGAATTCGTACAACAATTTGATGGAAACCTTGGACCTTGGAATAATACAGACCTTAGATTTTACGATAATTTTGATTTTGCAAAATTTTACGTCAAGTGGAAATTTTTAAATTATTTGAATATAATCCACCAATTTGCCTCAGGTTCAAAAAACTCGAGTAGTTCGAATTTTTAGTACATTTATGAAAAATTGTAATATAATTTTGAAATTTTTAACGCTAAATAGTAATTTTTGAATTGTTTGGAAGTCTAGTTATATATTAAGATTTTTTTCAAGTTGTGAGAAAATTTTATGACAAAATAATGCGAACGTTAGAATAATCAATTTTTTGTACCAATTTTGATACAAGTTAAAGTTTATGAAAAATTATTATTTTTAATCGACAAATTTTGACGCCAGATGATAAATTTTGAACTATTTGCAATTTGTAAATGATATAAATTTAGATAGTCTTGAAACCAGGCGGAATTCGCACATTTTGATGGGAACATTGGCATAATAAATTTTGTGTACAAATTTTGACGTAATGTGCAAGATTTTAAATTAAATAGTTGAATAATTTTAAATGTTTCCGGTCCAAAAAACTGGAGTAGTACGAAAGTTTTGTAAGTTTAGGAAAAATTGAAATATAATATGAAAATTTGCAAACTTTAACGTCAAATAGGAATTTTTGAATTATTTGAAAGTCTAGTTATATTAAGATCGGTCTTCAAGTTGTGAATAAATTTTAAAACAAAATTTGAAGTTAAAAATTTATGGAAAATTATAATTCTGAATTTGTAATTTTGACGCCAGTTGGACAAGTTTTTTAATTATGAAATAGTTTAATTATATAAATTAATAAGTAATCTTGAAACAATAAAAAATTAGCAAAACATTTTTAACGAGAATTTTGGAATAATTAATTTTGCATAGAAATTTTAACACCGGCTGGAAATTTTAGTTGGTTGAGTAGCTTTAAATTGTCTTAAATTTAAATAGTAGTTTTAAATTGGTGCAAAAAAAACACAGGTTTGTAGGAAAATTATGTAAATTTATGGAAAATTTACTAAATTTTAAACTTACGATTTTGACTTCAGGCAACAATTTTTGAATTATTTTGAATATTTAATTATGTAGATTCAGGTACTCTTCAAATCAGGCAAAATTAGCACATTTCAATGGGTATATTGATTAATTTTGTGTTCAAAGTATGAAAATTTGAATTATGCAGCTTGTAAATTTTAAATTGTCTCAAAAAGCAGGCGTAGTTCGAAAATTTGGTAAATTTATGGAGACTTACGTTAAAAAAATTAGCAAAACATTTTTTAACTATTGCAAGATTTGCATAGAAATTTTGAAATAAAGTAGAAAATTTTAACGCTAGGTATACCTATTCAAAAATTTAGTTTTCATTCGAAAGTCAGTCATCCCTATTTCTGACTGAAGATTTTCATTCACACTCATTCATTTTCTTTCAAATTCATTTCATTTCACTTCATCTGACTTCATTTCTTATTTTGCCCCATGTATTAAGCATAGGGTGAAAAATGAAGTGAGTGAAAAATCCTTCATTCACAGTCATTCATCTGAAATGACTGAATCTTTCACTCATTTTCATTCAATTCGCAGGAAATTCATTTTCATTCACCATCATTCTCTATCATAATCAGTCACATGAGTGAAAGTGAACAGGTATGACGACCGATGGAAATTTTTGAAATATTTGAAGAGTTAGGTTTAAAGAGGCTTATTTTTGTCCACTTTTTACGCCAGGTAGACACTTTTTAATTAGTTGAGTAAGGTTAAATTGTCACAGGTGCAAAAAATACAGCAGTTGTAGGAAAATTTAGTAAATTTATGGAAAATTTCACGATAATTTTGATTTTGCAAGGTTTTACGCCAAGTGGAAGTTTTTAAATTATTTGAAATAGCTTAGTTGTATATTTAGATTGAGATTCTTCCAGACGACCAAATTTTATGACAAAATTTTAATGGGAACAATGGAATAATTAATTTTGTGTACAAATTTTGACTCAAGTTAAAAATTAATGGGAAATTACAATTCTGATTTTGCAATTTTGACGCCAGTTGGAAAATTTTTTAAGTTATGAAATAGTTTAATTATACAGATTTAGACAATCTTGAAACATTGGAAAAAATTTACAAAATATTTCTAGCGGGAATATTGCAATAATTATTTTTGCATATAAATCATTTGTGGATTTGCATATATTTATTATATATTATGCAAATATATTTATGATATTTATATTTACATACAAATTTCGACGCAAGGTAGAAAGTTTTAAATTATTCAAGAGACAACATTAGTACAAAGATTTGATAAATTTATGAAAAATTGTAGTAATTTTGAATTTACAAATTTTTAAGCCAATATGGAAATTTTAGATAGTTGAGTAATGGTTAATTTTCTGAGGTTTGAAAAAAAGGACTTATTTACATAAAAGTGGAATAACTTTGTTAACCATTGTATTAAATTTTGATGTTTTCTTTGTTAACCATTGTATTAAATTTTGATGTTTTCTTTGTTAACCATTGTATTAAATTTTGATGTTTGAATGTCCAAATTTTGACGCCACGTGGAAATTTTAGTTACTTAATTTGATTACGACGTTGCTGAGATTGCTGAGATAAAACCGGGGAAAAAATGTGTGGAAATTGGAAAATATTTGTAAAATTGGTGCAACAATTTTATGTACATTTTGTTAAATTATAATTTTGAAAAGACCAAATTTTGACGCCACGTGGAAATTGGGAAATATTTGCACAATTTTAATAACTTTTTTGTACAGGAATTTAATTTCAGCAAAAATTGCACAATGAAGAGGAATTGGTACTTAAATTTATGGAAAATTACGATAATTTTAACTTTGCAGGATTTTGACGTCAGGTAGAAATTTTGAAATATTAGAGTACCTATAAATTGTGTCAGGTATAAGGGAATTTGTATTGATTTTTTGTCGTCCGAAAAAATTCGTCTTAGATTTTTGAATTATTTAAGAAATATATGCATTTTCGAAAAAAATGTAAAAAATGAGGGTGAAAACATGGTTTGTTTTCTTCTGCAATTAATTTAATAACCAGAGGGCGGCTACACTCTTAGAAATGCGGTTACGATTATAACCAAAAAAGTAGACGTATGTGACTCTACCGTCGTGGTTATAAATTTGTTACCGAGTGGTTACAATTGTCACCGACTAATTATGAAGTTTCACCAACATGGTATTATATTGTCACCAGAGCTAATAAATTTATGACCAGTTGGTGACAAATTCATAACCACGGCGGTAGAGTCACATACTTTTACTTTTTGGTTATAATCGTAACCCCATTTCTAAGAGTGGATTGATTAAAATATTTAAGCGTGATGGATTTGATTTGAATTTCAGACCGCTCGCAATGTTAATCAAGTGGGCACGTGTTTTTTTTTGGCCGGCAGAAATTCCATCACGCTTAAATATTTTCAAATCAATAGTATGAAAACTAATCCTCAGTTAAGAAATTTTGTATCCACAAATTTTGACGCCACGTGAAAATTTTAGTTACTTTAGTTAATTATTTCGTTTTTGAGATTAATTAAATAAAATTGGGCAAAAATGTGTGGAAATTGGGAAATAAATATTCCCCAAATTTTAATAACAGTGTAAATTATGTATTTCAGCGTAAATTACAGAATGAAAGCTGAATTGAATTGGTAAATTTATGCAAAATTACAATTTTGACGCCATGTGCAAATTTGAGCTAATTAAGGTGATTAGTAAATTTTTAAGGTTCGTGGAAACCAAAAATTTGTGGTTAGTTTTGTAAAATTGGTGGAATGACTTTTTCGCATATTTTATTTCAGCCAAATTTGCACACTGAACATTGAATTGGCAAATTTATGGAAAATTAAGATAATTGTGACAGAAAAATACTCTAAATTTGAACTGTTCCAGGAAAGCATGCATTAGTAGTAAATTACGGAAATGAAATTCAACAGTTAGTACATAAATAATTGCGACACGTGTAAACATGCCCTTAATTTTAAGAACTAATTTATTCACGACTTATCAGATCGATTCGGAATAAATTGCGTAGATGAAATTCAGCACATTTGCGAATTTGTATATGTATCCCTTTAATTTTAAGAGCCAATTTATTGATGAATGACGACTTTTCCGTTCGCAATAAACAGAATTCTAGAAATTTTAAATTTTTTCAAAATTAATCCAGTAAAACGATCCTTAGTAATAATTTGCATAAATGAAATTCAACAGTTGATTCAAACACATTTCCGACACGCGTAAAACATCCCCACCCTTTTAGGCAACTAATTTATTCATGCTTGTCAGATCGATTTGGAATAATAAATTACGTTGATGAAATTTAACATATTTGCGAATTTGCGTATGTAAGTATGCCTTTAGTTTTATGAACCAATATATTCACGATTTTTCAGATCATAATAAAAAAAATTAGTGGAATTTGACACGGTTCTATTTTTTTAAATTAATTTAATTAAGAAAAACTGTCCATTAATAATTTGGCACATGTATATGAAATTCAACAGTTGATGCATACATATTTACGACACGTGTAAATCAGCCCATGATTTTAGGCAACTAATTTATTCACGAGTTTTCACATCGATTTCGGAATAAATTGTGTAAATGAAATTCAACATATTTGCGAATTTGTGTATATATCCCTTTAATTTTAAAGGAGCCAATTTATTGACGACTTTTCACATCGATTTCGGAATCAGGAGTGTGTATTTACTTGACCTTGATTATATGTAATTTATGGTGCTCGTATTACCTAAATTGCCTGGTGTTATGTACGACGGGTTGGTTGTGGAATGGAAAATATGTCGGATTTTGATTGTCTTGTTGTTCTCCGATGGACAGCGAGATTGTAAATAGCGAGAGAGAGAAATTGATGTTATGACGAGCAAGGGTTACCTTCTCTCCTGTCATGGTCATCATCGTGTCATAGTCGCAGTGGCCGCGAAAGGATGGGGACATCGGGGGACGTTAACATTGTAGGCATATCTCTTCAAAAATTTAGTTTTCATTCAAAATTCAATCATCCCGATGTCTGATTGATGATTTTCATTCACATTCAGTCATTTTCTTTCAAATTCATTTCATTTCATTTCACTTCATCTGACTTCATTTCTTACTTCGCCCCATGTATTAAGCATAGGGTGAAAAATGAAATGAGTGAAAAATCCTTCATTCAAAGTCATTCATCCGAAATGGCGGAGTCTTTCAGTAATTTGCATTCACATGACAGGAAATTCATCTTCATTCACCATCATAATCAGTGAAATGAATGAAAGTGAACAGGTATGATTACAGAGGGATAGAGGCGGACGTTGAACAAGAATGGGGATATTGTCCCTGTCCCCACCTTTCCGCGGCCACTGTAATGTAATTTTTGAATAGCCACTCCCACTACCAGCAGCGAGCCTATTCAGGTTTGGGTGGGTGTAGTCTCTTCGCCGGTTGAAAAGATGAGACTTCTGCTTTCCTCCGAGAAACGGTGCAAAATAATATGTGAACAACAAATGACGATCTCTTTAATGCAACGCCAATTTATTGTCACAATTAACTCACTAATTATTACACCAATTGTCCACTATTAGGACCACTGTCTCAGCAGTAAGTCTGCTCTGTTCCTATTCTAAACTACGACTTTTTTCTACCTCCTGTTAACCTTCACTAAAAAACCAAGGTTAATTGTTCATTGCCTTTCTTCCTCTTGCCAACTCACCACCACCGCGAATCAAAAATAGTGGGGCGACTTAAAACACAAAAAAGAGAGAGATTTTCATGCATGAAAAGCTTACATTACGTAAAAGTAATAGCTCATCCTGTGCGAATTTAGCCTTGTATTTATGTAATCAGTGGCCGCGGAAGGTGTTAGGATATCTGGAGATATTAACATTGTAGGATAGTGGAGCGAGGGGTTTATACGTGTAACACGAGGAGATTATTAGGAATAATATAATCGAATAACCGTGGGGTCACTGTCCCCCAATGTCCTCCCGCTTCCGCGGCCACTGGACTGTCATATGCATGCCTATAATTCAATAGATTTGACTTTGACTTTCCCCGTGAAATTGGTAGTATTGGATCAATTAAATCGATTTGTATGAGGTGGGCGACGTGGTTGCTGGAATAAGTGGCCATGTCCATATTTCGTGTGTGTCGAGCAGCTTTATTATTACGTTCGACGTCGCCAATTCCGGGAAATATTTTCCCAATTTTTGTTCTTGGAAATCTAATCCACGTTAGTTTTGTGGTGATTAACAGAGAAAGCAAAAAGTGGAGAATAAAATTTGAAAAATGTAGGACTTCTGAGTCGAAATAAAATTCTGGATAAAATTGGCAAAGGTATGTATTATTTTGAAATTTAGATTATTACAAGTTGAGGTGAGACAGTTGTATGATAAGATTTTCAAAAAATGTCAAAATTTTATTGAAAATTTATTGCCTAAATTTTAAAATGTCGCTAGTTTAATTTTCATAATTGATTAAGAGTATAGGAAATTGTAGGATAAAATTTAGGATACAATTTGGAAAGGTATTATTTTGAAATTTAGATTATGGGAAGTTAAAGTCAGACACAGTTTTATGACCAAATTTTCAAAATTTGGTTTAAAGTTTTAAAATCGCCACTACTTTTAATTTCCATAAATTGGATTAGAGTTTGGAAAAATGTATGATTTAAGGGTCGAAATAAAATTATACATAAAATTATGGAAGGTATGATTTTGAAATGTAGATTATGAAATGTTAAAAAGTTAGATTATATGGAAAGTTTAAGTCGGACACAGTTTTATGACCAGATTTTTTAAAAATGTCAAAATTTGATTGGGAATTTGATCCATAAATTTTAAAATCGTCACTACTTTGATTTCCATAATTGAAGAAAAGTTCAGAAAAATGTGTAAGATTTTCGAGTCGAAATAAAATTCCGGATACAATTGATAAAGTTTAAAAATCTTGAAGATGTTAGTTTATTCTTTGGCCAAAAGAGATAAGTTCATCGAGGGTTATATTCTGCAGTACCATTCAGAAAATTTCAGAATTTCGTATAAAATTTCACAGCTGCTTATATTTAAAAGTCAGCCCCTTTTTATTATTTCCATAATTAAGTCAGAGTTTGCAAATATGTAGGGTTTACGAGTCGATACAAAATTTTGGATAAAATTGGCAACCTTTAAACTTTCGAAAGGTTTTTTATTCTAAAAGGAGTATCATTCGAGTAAACAAACGTAAATTAAATTGTGCCCAAATTTCATAAAATTTCGAAACTTTATAGTTTTCATAAAGTGGCTAAATTTTAAAATAATCGCCTTTTTTAGAACAGGCATAAAAGGTTTTCATAGACATTCAAAATTGAATAAAAAAGTTATCAAAATTTTGAAATCATTTTACCGTTTTAATTTTCAAGATTCTATGAAAGTTTGTGAAATTGTAGGTTTTTGAAGACGATACAAAATTTTGGTTAAAATTGACAAGTCAGTTAACGTTTTTGAGATTGAAGTCAAAGTTAAATTTTTACATTCGACATTTATAAAAGTTTAGAATTTCACGATTTCATAGAAAATAGGTCAATTTTAAAATCATCACTATTTTAATTTGCACAATTGAGTAAAGGCTCGCGAAAATGTAGGATTTGCGAGGCGATATAAAATTCTTGATAAAGTTGAGAAAGATTCAATTGTTTTAAGGTCAAAACAAGTGACTTGCAGTTGTATAAGATTTCAAGATTTCAAAATTTCATGCAAAATTGTTCAATTGACTACATTAGTTTCCATGATTTTGGAAAAGTTAGTAAAAATGTAGGATTTGGGAGTTGGCATGAAATCCTGGATAAATTTGACAACTTTTAAACTTTCTAAGGTGTAATTTTCATACGTCTTGTAAGAAAACGTGTAAGAACAAATTAAATTGTAATTACAAGTGGAGATGACTCATTGTTTCAAAAATTTTCAAAATTTTGTGATCTAAATTTTGTTACCAGCAGGCTTTCACAGTGTTACGTTGAACGAATTCTAAGACACGTGCTAAATTTTTTGCAATATTGGTAGAAACTTAATCAACTTTATTTTTTTTTGTGGTGGGGTGGTTAACAGGGATAGAAAAAAATGGAAAAAGTTGATTTTCATAAAATTTCATTACTACATAAATTTTAAAATCAGAACTATATTTTAATTTCAATAAACCGTAGTAACGTTAGAAGTAGCTCACCCTGGAATAATGATTTAGACAGAACTTTGCACTGAAGGTGCAGAATAAGCCAACAAAATAGATCACAACTCTTATATATTCATCATATATATGCCGTTTATGGTGCAACAGAAACGGCTGGCCATTGCACCATTAGTGCAGCATTAGCGACCATCCAGGATACATAATTTTGAAAACGTTGTCAAAATTGTATGATCATTTCTCCCGGATATTCTGCACTATTGGTGCGTTTTGCATCCCATCCCCCAATTATTTCGCATCATTTTGTATTACCGATTGTTAGATATCAACTGTGCTATTTATTTACTAAAAAATTCGATTCGGTTTGTTCAATACCAATGGTGCGCCTAACATATTCAATAATTGTCAAGGGGATTTTTAATTATCAATTCATCAATGCATCAATTCATGCAAAAACTCGTTAACAGACGGACAGACAGACAGACTACTACCCTGTACTAGTGGTTTGCTACTAACTGGCCCCAAAAGTGCAGAATAATCTGACAAAATAAATCCATAATTTTTATACACCTATGCACCAATGGTGCAGAATAAACGAGGAAAATACAAAATGCAAGATAATGTTGCACCACTGATGTAGATTAAGCGGCAATGGTCGCTTAATGCGTACCAATAATTTTTTGAAAATGTATGTCAAAATTGTATAATCATATCTCTCGGCTATTCTGCAGTATTGGTGCATTTTGCATCTATTCCCCCAAATTGTTCGCATCATTTTGTGTTAACGATTGTTCGATACCAACAGTGCTATTAACTTATCCAATAATGGTCAAGGGGCTGTTTAATTAGCATCAATTGATGCAAAAAAGTCATTAACAGACAGACGGACAAGAGGAATTCAATAGCTCTCGTGCTACGCAGGGTGAGCTAATAATTGAAAACAGAAAATTGGAAAAATGTAGGATTTCCGAGTCGATACAAAATTCTGAATAAAATTAGCAATCTTTAAAGTTTTTAAGGTACATTTTTCATGTCATGTAAAAAAAAGTGTAAGAAAGAAATAAATTGTAGTTACAAGCAGAGATGAGTCACTGTTTCAAAAATTTTCAAAATTTTATGACGAGCAGACTTTTACAGTACGTGAAGAAATTTCTGGGAATATTGTTGGAAATTGAATTCACAATTTTCTTTGTTTTTGTGGTGGGGTGGTTGACAGGGATAGAAAAAAATGGAAAAAGTGTATTTTCATAAAATTTTATAGTTACATTTCAAAATTTGAATCATTTTAATTTCAATAATTGAAAACAAAAAATATCGGGAAAATGTAGGATTTCCGAGTCGATGCAAAATTGTGGGTAAAATTGGCAGAAGTGTAATTTTTAAATAAAGATAAGTACAACGTTCCTTCACAAAAGTTTTACAATTATGTTTTCATAAAGTTTTAAAATTTCATAGAACATTGGCAAATTTTAAAATCAGTATGATTTGAATTTCCAGAATTGAACATAATTTGGAAACTAAATTTTGGATTAAATCTACATCTTTTTGGATCTTTTAAAGGTGCAAATTCCAACTTGTACAAGCGGTGATGAATCTTAAGATTAGTTTTATGAAATTTCAAAATTTTTTATAAAATTTCATATCTGAATTTTAAAATCATGACTATTTTAATTTCCATAATTGAAAATGTAGGGTTTGAATTTCTGGGTAAAATTGGTTAATGTGTGCTATTGATAATTAAGTACATACGTTATGTAAAATTTTAAGACTTATGATTAAATTTTCACAAAAATTTTCCTAAATTTTCATAAAGTACAACTGTATTAATTGAGTGTCGATACAAAATTCTGGAAAAAATTGAGAAATATAATATTTTGAAAATTAGGTCAGATATTCGCTTGTCTAAAAAAGCAGTAGTATAATCAGATTTTTATCAATTACTAAAAGTTTTGTGGAAAATCTAATAGCTAAATTTCAAAATAATCTCGAGATATTTTTTTTCCATGATGGGATAAAAATTTGCGAAAATGTAGGATTTGACAGTCAGTCTGGTTCAAGTGCCGGGGGATTGGAACTTAGTACCTGGGAAACGTCACCCAAAAGTTCCCATTCCCTGGACTTTTTAGTTATGCAAGTTACAGGGAAACGGAACCCACTTGTCGCAGGATTTAGCGGGCTTCGATTCCCCGGTACCCTCTTACGCAAGAGTTACGATTCCCCGGAACCCAACATTTTTCTTTCATTTTTCATAAATTGAATAAATTTCCGCAAAAAATTTGAATTATCTCAAATTAACCTCCCACAAACGAAGAACATTTGATAAAAAAATTAGAATTTTTTATAGTGGCAGAGGTTCCTAAAATCGCAAATTTCTGACAAATTTGAGGAGCGGCAAGCTCAAAAAGGTACGGGGAATCGTCACCCAACAATTATTTTTAGGAAAAAATATAGTTATTTTTAGGGGAAAATAATTGTAACATAATAATAACGTAATAATTGTAATAATAATTGCAAAATAACTGTATTTTTCCCTAAAAATATTTGTTGGGTGACGATTCCCCGTACCTTTTTGAGCTTGCCGCTCCTCAAATTTGTCAGAAATTTGCGATTTTAGGAACCTCTGCCACTATAAAAAATTCTAATTTTTTTATCAAATGTTCTTCGTTTGTGGGAGGTTAATTTGAGATAATTCAAATTTTGTGCGGAAATTTATTCAATTTATGAAAAATGAAAGAAAAATGTTAGGTTCCGGGGAATCGTAACTTTTGCGTAAGAGGGTACCGGGGAATCGAAGCCCGCTAAATCCTGCGACAAGTGGGTTCCGTTTCCCTGTAACTTGTATAACTAAAAAGTCCAGGGAATGGGAACTTTTGGGTGACGTTTCCCAGGTACTAAGTTCCAATCCCCCGGCACTTGAACCAGACTGACAGTGAATAAAAAATTCTGGATAAAATTGCCAAACGTATTATTTTGAAGTTTAGGTCATGTAAAATTTTTATCGATAACCTTTACAATTAAAGTTTCATAAAATTTCAAAATTTCGCCAAAAATTGCATACCTAAATTTTAAAATCGTCACTATTCTAATTTCAAAACTTGAACGTAAGTTTGGAAAATGTAGGATTTTCGAGTTGATAAAAAATTTTGGGTAAGACTGGCAATGGTGTTATTTTGAAATTTAGGTAGTGTATTAGTTTGTCTAAAAGTTTAAAGTTTTATAATTAGATTTCTATAAAATTTTAAAATTTTCACAGAAAATTTAACGGCTAAATTTCAAAATAATCGCTAAATATTTATGAAAATTTTGGACTTAAAAGTAGAACTTTCCCAAAATTCTGGATAAACTTGGCAAAAGTTTTAGTTCAAATTTTAGATAATAATTCGAAATTATGTACAGTTTTATACCCAGATTTATATCAAAGTTATATAAAAATTTTGTGGAAAATTCCATACCTAAATTTTAAATTGGCACTATCTTAATTTCATTTTTTAATTTTCAATTTTTTCACTGTTATAAATTTTCAAAACCGCTTTAAGGTGCAAATTCGTTCGTATGGCGTGAGAAAACGTGTACTAAATTAAATTGTAGTCATACGTAGAGATGACTAATTATTAATTTCGTTCGTAAAAAAATCACAATTTTAATTTCCATAATTGAATAAAAATTTGTTAAAAATGTCTGAATTTTAGAGTCGACACTAAATTCTGTATAAAATTGGGAAACGTTTAATATTTTTTTAAAGATACTAATTTCTTCTTCGTAGGAAAATGTGTAGGGAATTAAATTGTCTCGATGCACACTTTTGTAAAATTTCAAACTTTTAAAGTTTGACTAAACTAAATATCCCAATTTCAAAATAATTGTCATTTTGAGCAGTATCAAATTTTTCGAATGAGCAGAAATAAATCTTTTATGGTCAGATTTTCATAGAATTTCTTAATTTCATTGAAAATTTCATGACTAAATTTTTAAATCATAACTACCTATCTTAAATTTCTAGAATTGAATAAAAATTTGGAGAAATGTAGGATTTTGGAGTCGATACAAAAATTTTGCATAAAATTGCATAAAGTTTATAAGCTATTTAAAGGTGGACGTCTCTAAACTCCGTGTTCTGGTTTCGTTAAGGAAGCAAACGATCACCAAATTAAATTCTATTTACAAGTTGACTTTTACAGATTTCGAATTTTTTTTAGTTTTTATGAAGTAGCTAAGTTTCAGAATAATTATCATTTTTGAACAAGCATAAATAGAAGTTGTATAATAAGATTTTCATAAAGGTTAAAGAAAATTGTAGAAAATTTCACAATTAAACTTTAAATTTATCACCATTTTAAATCCAATAACTGAATAAAAGTTTGGAAAAGTGTAGGATTTGAGAGTCGATACAAATTTTTTGATAAAGTTTACAACTTTTAAGGCTTTTCAAGATAGATTAATCTAAAAAAAAATTTATTTTAGTAAGCGAACATGTGAAGAATAATTTAAGCATATTTAACCGAACTTTCGTAAAATTTCAAAATTTCGAAATTTTACTAAACCAACCAGCATAAATCAAAGTTTGTAAGTAAAATGACGTAAAGTGAATTTCGTTATTTTTGTAAGATGCATCATTTCGAAAGATACATTATTTGACTATGTAAACATGTCCTAAATTAAATTGTACTCAGACTCATCGAATTTCAAAATTTCGAAATTTTACTAAAATATCTAAATTTCAAAATAATCAATTTTGTATAGATGTTCGATTAAAGTTTGTACAACGACACGCATGAAATGAATTTGATGATCTTTTGTGCGATGCATCATTTCAAAAGGTATATTATTTGAGCGTAGAAAGATGTCTTAAGTTAAATTGTATTCACACTTTCGTAAAATTTCAAAATTTCGAAATTTTACTAAAATATCTAAATTTCAAAATAATCACAGTTTTGGAACCAGCATAAATAAAAGTTTGAAGTGGATTTCGTGATGGGAACTTTGGGAAAAAACCGTCCCGATTTTCTCACCTTTTCTGAAAGTTACAACGGTTTCGAATCCTCGTACCATCAAAGCAAAGATGAGTCCGTGGCGTTTCTGCGGGAAGCTTTCGGAGCGAGAACGTGCTGCACCGTGCAATCCTGGGCACTGGTATTTGCATTCGCGAAAATGGTGAGGAAATAAATAAATAAAATTACCAAGAATGGAGGTCTCCCAGCGTATGCTCTTCGATTTTGAGCAAATTAGTGTCATTCTATCTCAACTTTGAATGGTATGAAATTTGCAAAAGACACCATCTCGTTTGCAGAGGTATTTGCATCCGAAGAGGAGAAAAGCTCAGTAAAGGTGACAAATTTTGCACTTTTTAAATTTACTGCGCGTTTTCTCCTCTTGGGATGCAAAATATCTCGGTTAAACATACCCATTGGGGGATCGTGTTTTTTGTAAAATTCCATACTAATTAAATTCGTGATCGACACTATAGTTTGCTCAAAATCGGAGAGCATACGCTGGGAAACCTTCATTATTGGTGAAAAACTATTTCGAAAATTGTTGCATTTTTGCCAATTTTATTTTTCTCAGGTATACTCCTGCTGTCTCCTGGGGCTTTTGTCCCTCACCGTGTTGGGTGTCCTGTTATCGTCGTCCAGCCATAAAAAGAACAATGTCCCTCCTACGGTTAGTAAATTATGTGAGAGACAAATTATGCTAATTTTTTCAAATTATCATTTTTTTGCACAAACAGGATATGCAAATGTCGCCAAATCTGTCCTCGCCAATCCCGACGAGCAAGGAGAAAACTCTGCTGGTACTGGCCGTGGTTTATTTCGTGCTCCAAATCTGCGTAGCATTCTCATCCTCAAAAATATTCGGAATCATTGCTCAACTTCGGGTTCGGAAATAAATTATTTGAATAATTGTCATTAAAAAACTTTATAAAAAGATTGCTGACATGCCGAGGTTTCTTTGGATTAAGAACTATTGTGAATGAAAATATGTAAAATTAGGAATTGTTTTATGAAAATTTATTTTAATTTATTCAAAGTTATGACTTCAATGTTTTCGATATTTTTTTTAAATTGCGAAAGTGTACATTTGAAAAGTTAAGATTTATTTTGAGTCGAATATTTTTGAAAATTTGTGTAATTAGTAATTGTTCTACAAAATCTTATTTTAATTCGCATAAATTTCAAAATATTTTCGATAGTTAAAACACTACAGATTTTAAAAATAGCGAAAGTATGAATTTGAAAACTTTAAGTATCTTTGGGTCGAATCGTTTTGGAAATATGACATACATATTTTCAAAATTTTACAAATATGATGTATGTAAAATCAGCAATTATTATATGAAATTTTATTTTAATTCATTAAAATTATAAATTTAATTATATTTTTGATAATTTTAACCCCCAAAAAATTTTTAAAATTGTGAAGAGTATGAGTTTGACTTTGATTTTGATTCTGACAGGGCAACTTTCTCCCCAAACTGCGCCGAATTCTGGGCGTTTTTGTCATCCTGAAGATAACCTCGTTGGGAATTCTGGTCCCGTTTTTCATCCTGAACAACAACAACAATGTTCCAAAAGGGGGAAACAATGGTGCGGATGGGGGCAACTTGAGAATGGTGTCGTCGCCTCCGAGCAGTAATCCGATGGGGACGCTGGGTCTGGCTTTCACCTCGTGCGACACGGCTTTCACCCTCGTCTACGTCCTCGTGCTGGCCCTTTTCGTCATCGAGGGGAGCAAGGGGAGTGGAAAAAGGGGGCAGGAAAGGGGGGTCGTCGTCGTCAAAGTTGGTGGCGGCAGTGGGGGTGGTGCAGGGGCAGGAAAGAAATATAGCAAATAGGGCGAAACTGTGTGGAAAAAATAATAATTGGATTTCGAAAATTCATATTTTTTCGAAAAACGAAATCTTGTGCTCATTTTAAATAAATTTAGTTTTAACTGTTGGTAATAAGGAGAAAATGATTGACAAGAAAAGTGGTGAAAGCGTGGATAAAAAATATTACTAAAGTTTACAGTACACATTACAAAATTTGCAAGTAATTTCGTATTGTCTGCACGATTTTATTTAGTTGTCATTAATCAAAAGTTATTGTTTTATAATAATTTACTTATGAAAAAATGTATTATGCAAAGTGAATTTTCTGTTATAGAAATTATGCTATATTACGGTTATGTTAAAGGGATTATGCAAAGTGACGGGCCACGCTGGCTTTCACCTCGTGCGACACGGCTTTCACCCTCGTCTGCGTCCTCGTTCTGACCCTTTTCGTGATGGAGGGGAGCAAGGCGGGTGGAAAAAGGGGACAGGAAATGGGCATGGTTGTGGTCAAAGTTGGTAGGTTGGCCGTGGGCAGGGTATTCCGACCCCGGGTTTTACTGGGTTTTATTGGGTCGTTAAGTAATAAAACCCAGCGGGTTTTACTATGTTAAAGGGGTTTTACTGGGTTTTACTCGGGTTGTACAAAGTTTTATTTCAAATTCAAATAGATAAATCAATAGAATCAGTTTGCAGGTGCATATCTAACTCGAATTAAGTACTCTGATCAATATTCCGTAAATTTCTCTATTTATTTCGAATTTTTTTTCATGACCTAAAAAGCACAATTTACAGCTTAAATTGGAGTTTGCTCAAATTCGTATTTTTCTTGTGTTCCTGGCATTTCGAATTGAAGTTTTTTGATAAATCTTGATAAAATTCATTAATTTAACAAATTGACGTAACATTGAAAGTTTTATGAATTCACCCCAAACATTGAGTAAAACCCAGTAAAACCCCGGGGTAGTTGTTTTCAGAGTTAAACCCCGGGTTTTTCCGAACCCTGCCGTGGGGGTGGTGCGGGTGTTAAGAAATATAGCAAATACGGGGAATATATCGGGTGAAAGTGCAGAAAACTGGTAAAAATAAGCAATTCCGAAAATTTTCGTTTTTTTTGTACAAAATAAACTCCCCGAAAATCTCAGCATTTTTTGCTCATTTCAAATATATTTAGATAGTTTTAACAGTAACGAAGATATCGGGCGAAAGTGCAACAAAAGTGGTGAAAGCGAAAAATAACTTCTAAAAATAGAATCTTCTAAAATTAGAATACCGATACAAAAGGCTTTGTTCAAGAAATCACATTATCACATTATCCAAATTTATCCTGCACATCTTTCCCCTACATGTGTAAACTATTAATACTTTTCCAAATTTCCAATTTTTGGCGTCCAATTTTGCCAAATAAGCAAGACTTTAAATTTGTGTATGTAAATGTTCAAACGGACACTGCAATTTTCAATCGAATGAAAAATTGATATTGTAAAAAAAATTGTGCGATGATGATACGATTTTTTTATTGGGGACAATACATTGAAAAATAATGAATTGAAATACGAAGCTAAATATTCCTAAAAGTGTGGTGAAAACAAAAAGTGAAAGCAATAACGCGCAAAGATGACAATTTCAAAAGTTAGTTAAATAAACCTTTACAATTTGAATTGATTTTCATGCATACCTTTTTTCTCATTTAAAACCTAAGAATTTTTTTAATTTCAATTTTTTTGGCGTCGAACTTTAAGTTTTAAAAAATACTTTGAATACTTTAAAAAATACATAAAACTTTAAGTTTTTATAATCTATTTGGGTATTTGGGCACAGTAATAATTATGTACAAGGCTTAAATTAATATGTAAATATCGGTCAAAATAATCAAAAGTGAAAATGGGATTTAAAATAGCAATATTTACTATTTAATGCAAAATTGATATCGTATTTTAATAAAAAAAATTGTGCTATGATAAAGTACGAATTTTTTGCTGGAGGACAAAAATATCGAACTTATTGAACAATGTAGATGCATTATTGATCCAAATATGAATCAATTCGTAACCAAAGTTGTTGTCAAACCTAAATTACTCAAATAATTATGTAATTGAAGAGCACCAACACAATTATATAATATTTCTGTCGGGGCAGGGTGTTTGATTTAGATATGTAAGATCGAATAAATATATATGTTCGAAAAAGTAAGAATAAAAAATAATAAGCACGCGTACAGTCTTGTAAGTAAATTTTTATTAATTTGAAAAATTTCATATAAAATAAATAATTTTTAAAATCATCACCAAATTTTAAGTTTTGTAAACTGATATCCAGAAAAACTTGCATAAAGGTTGACCTGACTAGACTAATACATTTTATAAAATCAGATTTTCATAACATTCTACAATTTCTTAAACAATAGGTAAATTTAAAATACTTACAATTTTAGTTTCCAGAATTGAATAAAAGGTTGTAACTTACAACCTTTTATTCAATTCTGGAAACTAAAATTGTAAGTAGTGATGGTAATCCGTAACCGATCCTATCCTAGGATCGTAAAAACTCGGATAGGATCGGATTTTCAAACGGATCGGATAGAGGATCCGAGGATCAGACAATCCGATCCGATCCTAACCGATGAGATCCTAGGATCACACAGGATCCTCGGATCATCCGATGTAAACTCGTTTCACATTTGGTGAGTTCATCACATCGTACATTACCCGAACGAGCCGAATTATGTTATTATTTAACACCAGTTATTTCTATTTTGGCGTTGAAATCATACGAAATTGAATAATTTAAACGTCGAAATAAAAATAACTCGTGTAAAATAATAGGATAATTCGGCTCATTCGGCTCATTCGGCTCATTCGGCTCATTCGGCTCATTCGGATAATGTACGATGTGATGAACTCACCAAAAACCGTTCCAATAAATAAATAAAAGCAGCTGGTTAAGTTGTTCCATAGTTAGACACAAGGTGTCTCACACATATCAAGCGAATCTTGGATCATCCGCGGATATCCTAGGATCGGATCGCATCGGATTTCGAGTAGAACCGGGAGCCGATCCGGGAACTAAAGCGAGGAAATCAGATCCGATCCGATCTTGTATTTATCCGATCCTATCCTACGGATCGGTTAATTTAGGATACGGATTACCATCCCTAGTTGCAAGAAATGTATGATTTACGAATCGATACATAATTTTGGATAAAATCGACTGCTTATAAACTTTTCTAAGGTACAATACCATTAAGGACATTGTGTAACAAATTAAATTGTAGTCACAAGCGGAGATGACTCACAATTTCATAAAATTTCAAAACTTCGTAGAAAATTTTACACACAAATTTTAAAATAATCAGTGTTATATAATTTCCATGATTGCATAAAAGTTTGTCAAATTATACTAAATCGTTGTTATACGAGTGGAGTGGACTCACTCACGTTTATAAATCTTCAAAACTTTAAAATCTTATGAAAATAGTTAAATTTGAAAATTATTATTATTTTTTTCTGGAATTGAATAAAAATTTGAAAATCAGGATTTGGGCGTCGATACAAAATTTTGAATAAATTTGACAAAGGTTAAAATAATTTTTCAAGTATTAAATCTGTTTACATCGTAGTGACAAGTGGAATCGCACTTTCATAAAATATCAAAATTTCATAAAAAATAGTTAAATTTTAAAATGATGACCAATTAAATTTCCAGAATTGAATAAAAGTTCGTGAAAATGTAGGATTTTCGAGTCAGTACAAAATTCTGGGTGTACTTGGGAAAGTAAGTTATATTGAAATTTGGGTGGTGTACATTGATTATAAAAGTGTATAAATCGTAAAATTTAAAAATTTCATGGGAAATTTCAATTTCAAATTAAATTTTAAAATAATGACCATTTCAGTTTCCAGAGAATTTAATAAAAAATTTGTGAAAATGTGGGACCTTACAGTCGATACAAAACTCTGCACAAATTTGGCAACGTGTAAGCTTTCGTAAGATGCTTGGTAAGTAATGGCACATCTTTCGAGTTAGCGAACGTGTAAATTAAATTTCATACACTCAAAATAAGGTAGTAATGAATCATTACCATGCGGAATCACTATGTGTCTCTACCACGTCGGTTACGATTTGTCGCGGAAATGGTAATAAGAAGATCAGGGAAATTCAAATTTAATACATAATGGTATTCACTTCCTTAATATTTGGTAATGAATTTGCCCATTCATGCCCATTTGGGGCATGAATGAATTCATGCCCCAAATGCATGAATTCATCACATGGAGTACATTAGCCGAACGAGCCGAATTATCTTATTATTCAAGACCACTTATTTTTATTTTGACGTTTAAATTGTTCAATTTCGTATGATTTAAACGCCAAAATAAAATAATTTGCGTTAAATAATAAAATAATTTGGCTCATTCGGGTAATGTATTCCATGCGATGAATGAATAGCGTAAAACGGAGTTTAACAACTGTAATTTTTATGTTGGCGTAATAATCATACCAAATTGAATAATTTAAACGCCAAAATAAAAATAACTCGTGTCAAATAATAAATGGGAGACAAGCATGCAAACGTGCTCAAAATGCTTTTCCTGCACATTTCAGAGCCACCACCACGAGCTGGTCAATCTATTTGTACATACCTCATCGTGTGGGTGCGTAGTACATCGCGCCCGCCAATTATTTCGCATCATTTTGTGTTAGCGATTGTTAGATACCAACGGTGTTATTAATTTATTAAAAAATGGACCTGGTACATTTTAATTAGCATCAATTGATACAAAAAAGTCGTTAACAGACAGACGGACAGACGGACGGACAAGAGGAATTCAATAGCTCCCGTGCTAAGCAGGTTGAGCTAATAAAGCAGATCAGAGTCTTCTAAAATGTCAAAACGATCACTATTTTGGTTTCCATGATTGAATTAAATGTATATAGGATTTGGGGAGTCGATATAAATTTCTAAATAAAATTGACAATAAATTTCGTTTAAACTATTTTAAGGTAAAAATCTGTCCTTCAAA